AAAACATAAACAAAAGCACATCAATCAATGAGATATTCTCAATTATTATTGATGAATTGTTTCCCATCTTTGTCGCAAGTCCCTGATTCAATCCTTAAACAAAAATGCCGAGTTTTCGAGCCAAAATAAGTGTCGACTGCCAGTGTCGACTGCCAGTGTCGACTGCCAGTGTCGACTGCCAGTGTCGACTGCCAGTGTCGACTGCCAGTGTCGACTGCCAGTGTCGCCTGTTTTTTTTGATCTGTGCATGATTCTCGAACTTTTCTCCCATAAGAAAACTCTTGAACGACCGAAAGAAAAAATAATCTGATGGGGTCAGGTCCAGACCAAACAAGACAAGAGCAAGACAAGACAAGACAAGACTTAGTAGGACTTGAGCCTCCAGCAAGACAATGCCAAGCGGCATACCGCCAAGAAGACCAAGGTTAGCCAGTATAAGGTGCGTGGGGCAGAGAAGTTTCCAACCAACCTGTTAAGCTGTTAAGTTTCCAACCAAGCTCGTCGATTTCCCTTGTTTAAAAATCATACCACAAAGCGGCTCGAAGTCGAAACTTTTCGCCTTGCATTTTGTATATTTTTATAAATCCTCATCTGAAATCTCTTGGGGTCGTCCAGACCGTTCCTCGTCTTGGAGACTTTCATTTCCATCTTTGAACCGCTGAAACCATACTTGGCATTGTCTTTCGCTAATGCTGTCTTCCCCAAAAATTTCAATGATTATCCGATGCGATTCAGCCGCGGATTTCCCTGGTTGTCGATTGTTTTTTGGTCCATCCAACCAAGCTCGTCGATTTCCCTTGTTTAAAATCATACCATAAAGCGGCTCGAAGTCGAAACTTTTCCTCTTGCATTTTGTACCTGAAAATATTGTTAAATTTGTTAAAATTGTAAAAATTTGTTAAAATTTATTTAAAAATCAAATATAATATAAAAGCATAGAAGTTTCTAGGTGATATCAAGTTGAAAAAAATCGCATAAGAACTGGAAAACCAACCAGCCAACAATGGGAAATCAAAACCGACATTACTTTTTCCTCAACCCAATAGAATCAATCAATATAAACATAGTAAAAAGAGGAAGAAAATAGTCCAAATGATTTTTCTAAACTAGTAGCGGGGAAAATTTACATTTATGCTATTTGGTTGACGGGGAAAGATGCAGAAGTATCTAGTAGACATGGGAAATCGGGTCGGATCGAATCGGATCGGATCAGCTCAGGTCAAAGGTTGTCCCGACCCGACCCGATCCGACAAAAGCTGACCCTGAAGCCAAAAGCTGACCCTGAATCCAAAGCTGACCCTGAAGCCAAAAGCTGGCCCTGAAGCCAAAAGCTGACCCTGAAGCCAAAAGCTGACCCTGAAGCCAAAAGCTGACCCTGAATCCAAAAGCTGACCCTGAAGCCAAAAGCTGACCCTGAAGCCAAAAGCTGAAGCTCTAGTACCAGTTTGATTTTAGAAAAATAACCTGACGTTTTTTGAGTCATAAATCTTATTAAAATAGCTTATAAATAACGTGATATCAATTTGAAAACAAATCGCATAAGCAAAGAACTGGAAAACCAACTAGCCAACAATGGGAAATCAAAACTGACATTACTTTTTCCTCAACTTAATAATTTCGATCGAATTTAAATGTATATTTGGTTCATTTCTCTTCAGTTGTATCATTGAATGTTTTATGATTGAAAAAACACTCATTTTGACGGGTTTCTGTATTTGAATGCTTGTATTTGAATGAATGTATTTGAATTCTTTAAAATAATAATTATAAATAAAAGATTACTTTGCAATAAAGGCGAAAATCTAGATGTCTAATGCACTAAAATTTGATTTAAATTCACTTTTGGTTTCGATAATCGCGACTTGGGCATCGCGGAGGTGTGTTGGCATGAGTTGCCGGAAACTGCCGGAAACTGCTAAACAAACAAACAAGTAAACTCCAAATGAGATTGGCTTTAAAACGCCATCCGCTTAGCGTAACCCGCGCCCACCGTAGCCCATATTGCCGTAATATTATATTACGTAATATTCCCGTAACTCAGATCGATAAAGACCAAATCTATACAAGTTACGGTAGCTTTTGCATGCTAGCTTTATAGTTATAAATGGTAAAATGGTAAAACTATGGTAAAACGGCTTATTATCAACTCTAATAGTCAATCCAACTCAAAATACCCTAATCCACCGCTAATCTCGTTTGGAGATTGCTTTTGGAGATCTTTCTATTTCTATCTTTCAGTTATTTCTAAACTTTTGATTGTACACGAGTTACCGTAACATTGTTGATGGCATATTTACTACAGAGTGAGCCAAAATTACCGTTACATATGAGGGTGGTGCAAAAGGAACTGCCGATTTGACGGTAAATTCCAAAAAAAAAGATGGCATTCGATGGTGACATGATCACAATGGAATATTTTCGCAAGATTTCGAGCAGATTGGCATGGATCGGCCTGTATAACGTCCCTCAGCTTGGCTTCGTTCACGACTTCTGGCCTTGAACCGTGCTCGTAATCTTCCAAAGCCTCGTCCCCCTCTCGGAGCCATTGAAACCAAGTCTGACACTGCCTGAGAGACAAACTGCCATCTCCGAAAGCAGCACAGAGAGAACGATGCGATTCGGCAGCGGAATTTCCAATTTTGAAGTTAAACAGTTAAACGTAGCGCAAAATAAAAACAATATTTTTCGATTTCTTTTGCCTCTACCAGTCAATTTAAGTCAAAGAATGCATATTTAGTGGTTAAAAATAGTTTTGGCTCTAGTTTTGACCTTGAAAAGTCGCCGAATAGTCGATAGCTTGGGCTCCATAAGTACTACAATGCTGCTGAAGCTCCTTTACTCCGTCTTCCCTCTTCTTTTTTCGCTACATCGGTGAGAAGTTGACTTTTCTCAAAATTGTATGCTTTGACTTTTTAAGTGCTTGAAATATTCGTATTTTGATAGGCTAAAAATTTTCGATCGCAAATCTTTGCAACACCGCCGTCTTCTTCTAGACTTCTAGACTAGACCTTAGCCTATCAGTTAATACACTCGCAAGCTCAGAGTCTATTGAATTTACTGAAACTCGCTCAAAGACGAAGCAGAAATGGGGCTTTCTATGAAATTCTCAAGATCCAACTCCTCGTGCAACACTGTCTTGTATTTTTGCTCAAATCGTCTTTCTAAGTTGTTAACCCTTTCGAAACCGCAGCGTTTTTTTCTTTTTTTTCGTCTACGGACCAAGCGCATTTTTTGACATTTTTGACTCCGAAGCAGTTTATTTATGGTTGGAAAGATTTTAAGAGTCTCCTACACCATGATGAAGAACGATTTGGATTTGACTTCAGTACTTTTCAAGATCCTATCGATTATTGTTCTTATTTTATCGACGACAATATTTTAGTAGGCGAATCTAATAAACATGGAAAAAGGAAAACAAACTGGCAGGATTTCGATGCAAAGTCTTTCAAGCTCTTCCTGGCTTCAAATGGGAATCGTCAAATTACCGAGGATTCGTGACTACTGGAGTAGCAGGCCTGGATTAGGAGGATTTTCCCACATGTCCCACATTAGGTCAAGAGCAAAATTTGAATCTATTCTTCGAAATCTGCGTTTTTGTGATAATGAACTGGATCCTGCAGGAGATCCAGAGGCTGCCGGATCCAGAACTGGATCCGGCTTTTATAAGATTAGAGCTATTATGGAACATTTCAATGCAAAACCAGAGACTGCATTGATTCCGGGTAAATATGAAACATCTTTTTTGCCCACGTAATTTGTAGATCTGCTACAATTGGAATATACATGTAATGCTGAAAAACAGCAAAAAAAAGCAATTAATTGAATGAAAATAGTTCAATTAGTGCTGCAGCGGTCCGTTCCTGAGTTTTTGCTGCAGCGATTATTCGCTGCAGAAGTTTCGAATGGGTTAAATAATTTACTTTTAAACTCGGAAATCCTAGCATCTTTCCCTCGTTTTAAGAACGCTGTAAATGAAATCAAATCTTTTGCCTAGTATCTTTTGCTTAGTATCTTTTGCCTAGTATCTTTTGCCTAGTATCTTTTTGCTTAGTATCTTTTGCCTAGTATCTTTTGCCTAAGCGCTCTTGTACCTATTCTCATAAAATTGTAGTTTCTCATTGTAGTTTCCTTTTCTTTCTTTCTTGAATTTTTCATTTTTCTCATTTTTCTACTTTCTTTTGTATGTCTACACATTTTCGAGTTCCTTTTGAATAAGATAATTTTATTTTTCCTGTATTTTAAGCGCTTTCCTTTAACGCACAACAATCACTTTATTAATAAAAAGTGTTCCTCGAACGCTAGTAGGTATAGTAGAAAAGAAAAAGAAGTAAATATAAAATATAAAATATCAGCGACGACGAAAAAAAGAAGAAAAAAGAAAAATAATATAGTAGAAATATTTTCAAGATGTGTGTGTGATGGAAAGGGAGGGAAAAATGAATGAATAAATGAAAAAGAGAGAGAAAAAGTCAGTCAAAAGAGTCAAAGATTCAAAAGATTCAAAAATGTGTGTAAAATGGAAAAACAAAAAAAAACTTCGCGTGTTATCTTTTTGTACACAAGAAAACAACACACAAACGTTTTCAAGAAAAACGGGATAAAAAAAATTGTGAATAATTATCGAAACAAAAGAATCTATAAAAAAAGGGCCCGGGGAGGAACACGCGAAATTAGCATTTAACCAACAAATTTGTATCCAAAATTTGCATTGAATTCCAAATTCGAATGGGATAAATTCGATTTGCATTGAATTTTAAAAAAAAAACTCAGACACTAGCACTAAAATTTTTTGACAAAAATCGACGGACTTCGGACATTTTTAGAGGAAAAAAATTCTGGGAATCCCAAAAAAGAAAAACGCCTGGCGGTGCGATTTTCTTCGGATTTTCTTTCTTCTTTAGATGTTAGATGTTAGATGTTAGTTTTTAAGCTAAGCAAAGCAAGGATTTTTGGGGAAATTCTTGTAATTCTTGTCATTCTTGATCTTGACGAATTTTCTAGAGATTTTGAAGACTCCACTTGTCGGCGCCGATCACCGAGCGAGTGGCATCGCCGTTGAGAAGCGAGTTGTCCATCATCGTGTTGTACGTGCCCATCTGGAAATTCTTTTTCTGTTTTCTATTTGACAACACTAACAACTTCACCGATCCTACATAATACCAAGTTTTTCTGGTGCTCTATTTGGTCTTATTTTGTTCGATTTGTTCGATTTGTTCTTGTATTTTGTCGCTCTGCACATCAAACTTATACAACTTCATACTTTTAGAGGCTCAATCTCAACTATCAGACCCAATCTCAACTATTCGACCCAATCTCAACTATTCGACCCAATCTCAACTATCAGACCCAATCAGTCAGTCAGTTAACTCCAGCACAACAACAGCTATACGGTAGACTATATTAGCTATATTAGTTTATATTATTTTTGCCGTAACCAAGCAGAATTCAAACACAAGCCAGCAAGATCGATGTCTAGCTTCCGTTGAACCAACTTTCACAAGTCTTCCTGCAACCCAGCTAACCCTTCCTGGGCTTCCTGGGCTAACCCAGATACTTGGCCCGGATTCTGACTGGCTAAATATAGCTGTTCATTTTCAGTCTGGTTGTGAATAGGTGTGCGACGGGAAAACGAGATTTGACCACTTCAATGACTACCTTTTCAGGCACTTTTAGACCAAAAGATTAAGCTTGAAAAGCTTCTACCTTCGTAGAAGCAAGAAATCCTGAAAAAGTTGTCGTTGAAGTGGCCAAATCTTTCGTTGTACACCTATTGACAATCAGACCGGCAAATAAACAGGTCTAATGTGTCAGCTAAGCCAGTCTAGTATTGAAAATATCTAACTTTCTAAGCTAGCATTTTAAAGCTAACAAACCCATGGCTAAACCCAGAAAAGGGTGCTTTATGCTTTTTGCTTGATCGGGTCCTAGTTTCAGGATGGAATCTGGCTCCTGCTCAGTTATAAAAGAACCATTGTATTTAAAGGTTTTAGAAGTAGCTCTTCTAGTTAGAAGTCTAGCTAAATTACTAATAGATATCAACATTAATCTATAGATTTCTCTATATGATTTAGCTAATTAATAATCGATACCACTGTGATTCGGTTAAAGATCAAGAACCAACCATTTGATTAGGTGTTTGTCTGATGGGCATGTCTAAACCGGATAATGGACCCATGTTCATGTAGCTCGGGGTGACACCGGGTGGCGGTTGAATCGGAGTGCCCATCACACGACGATTCGACGCATCGTTCGTCTCGTTGTTCAGCTGGAAAAATTGGTTGTTTTGAATCAAAAAAAACCTAGAACTCCAAGCAATCCAAACCTTTTGTGTGATGTACTTCTCCAGGATCTTCACAGCAATCGGAATTGGTTCGTGTTGGAAGTTCGTTTGGTTCTGATAGCAGTACTCGTTCGACAAGTTCACCAATTTCTTCTTTTCGACGTGGCGAAAGATCTCGCTGACTTGCTCGAGGATCGTTTGATGTTTAAACGCTTCTTCGCCACCGTATTTCTGTGTGATTCTCTGAAAATGAAGAAAATTGTAAAAGGAAAAGATTTAAAAGTATCTTTTATTTATAGAATAGAAATCCTTTAGACTTATCCGTTTTCTAAAGCTGACCAAAAGCTACCGTAACCTTTCCTTCAGCTACCGTAACCGTAACCGAGCATTCTACTTTTGATCCCATTCAATTCACAGTTTGATTCCTCATCAAATAAGTTCAAAATTAAGCGAAATTCAAAGAAAACCTGAAGCAAAGATTACAGTAGCTTGGGCATCTTCTAGAAAACACACTCTACTATATTCTAAGTTCTACAGTATCTTGAAAGATAAACTAAAAATGCTCAGTACTTGCTCCAGAGTACTGTAGCTTAATGACTGAATACAGTATACTAAAGGTTTTACTATAAAAATATCTACAGTTTTATGACAGTACAAACCTGGTTCTGCTGAATCGGGGCTCCGGGAGCGGCAGTGTGTGGCGGTGGCTGAGACTGTGGTGGTTGTGGAATGTTCGCTTGTTGGGGTGGTTGTTGCGGCGCGAGGACCGGGATTCTCCCAAACCGCATAACTCGGACTGGCTGTCCCCAAACTACCCAAATAGTTGTGATTTGCTGTTGGGGGTACGGCGGTTGGAGTTTTCTGATTCCATCCATCACCCGACCATCCATTCGTTGTCGTTGCATGCGTTGTGGTGGTGGGAGCAGGGTTGGTGCTGGTGGACGCTGAAATTTGGGGGAATTTAAAAATAAGATTGGACTAGTAGCTGGAAAAGACTGATATCTTGACTTGTAGCGGCTTTCGAACTGTTCAGTTTTACTTTCTAATGGTAAACAATGAGCATTATCTAGTACTTAAGGTTTGTAAACTGTTTTGCAAAAGTTAATTCTAACTACAGTCCGACTCTCGATTCAACGATTCGCTCGGGATCAAAAATTTCGATTTAACGATTTTAAAAAGTGCCCAAAATTTTGTGCGTAGTTGCCCAGAACGGCCAACAATCGCGTTTGGCTGGACAGCTACGCAGAAAACAAGAGCGTGCTTTACAATCTCAAAATCGTTGTATCGAGAGTCGACAGTATAAGTGTTCTATCTTTTATCAACTCTATGGCTTTGGCAACTAGCTTTAATCGAGAACATTCTTTCCGATTTTTAGATTTTCATTTCAAAGTTCACCTGATGCCGAAAAATTGTCTGTGAGCGGCCCAAAACCACGATTTCCAAGCAAATTGTCGGATAAACTGAAATCATTCCAGTGCCACGATCCACCCATGTTCAGATTTGATGCAGTTCCCGGTGCGGCAGCGGTGCTCGGAGTTGCTTCGTTGCCGTTAGCACGAGAGCCAATAGCTCCTGAAAAATAAAGATATTCAGCTATAGACTTGAATCTAAAATCAGATCAAAAGTGGGCAAAAGTGTGTGTGCTTTCAATGTAAGCTACTTCAAGCTAGAAGGTTTAGACCTAGAGGTAACAAATGTAACTATAGGTATGATAGATTCAACAAAGTCTCGAGTAACTTGCTTTAAACTAAAATCTTACCTGGATGTCTGCATGGACTGGCGGTTTGTGGCTGTGAAGCGACGGTGGCCACCGGTTTCTGAATCGGCGATCCGGGAGCTTTGTTCTTTGGGAGAGATATTTGTGCCGATTGGTGCAGGCAGCTGGGATGCAGTGGAATTTGTGCGAGAACCGATCACTCCAGGTGAGGCCTAAAATTAATAGATATAGATCATAGTAAATTATGATCCTTTTTATAATCTATGAAAAAGAATCAAACTCACGAATACCTTTGGTGGTTCAGGTGGCAGCACAACTTGTTGTTGTGTTGGAATGGCGGCTGGGGTGGCTGACGGAATGGTGATGATCTTTGGAGCGGGTGGTGGCTTCGGAATCAAGAATTTGGTCATCTCGCTCAATTGTTTTCCCCTTCTTCAGTGCGTCCACTTGTGCCGAATACTCGACTCTTGCCTGAAAAAGTTCCCTTTTGTAATCAGAAGTTAGTGCCTTTTTTAGCTTCTTGACATTCAAAGCAGCTATAACAAAGGTTTTTGCAAGCCTTGAAACCTAACCGATTGTATAAATCAAATACAAACCTTTTCAACCATCCGTTGAATCTCTTCGAGTACTCCTTTCCATTCGTCCCGCGACGCCAAGAAGGTTTGTTGTTGTGCGGTGGAGCCAGCTCTGGAATTGGCTCATTTTTCAAATTCATTAAGCTTTAATATACAATATTAGTCTTTTCACTAGAAATGCGCTAAGATTAGGTAATTCAAGTCTTATCGGTTGAATACTTTTAGTAGCTAGGTTACTATCATCAGACAGATTCCTGTAACTTTACGGTGTCTTGACCAGGGTTTTTCTTAGAAATTTCAGAACAAGCCAAAGCCAAGCTCCAAAGCCGTGATTTCTTTGGCTTTCAACTTTTGACTTCAAGACAGAAAATGGTTCAAAATAGTGTCTGAACTGGTTTTGCCCTGCCCTGGCAGACATTTTGGCTTTGAAACTGATCTAGCTTTCTGGAACAACCCTAATATTACCGATATATTAGGTTGGTGCATAAGTCTTTACAATTTTTTTTTAAATTTTTGTTTCCATGAAAAAGTATCTTTTACCAAACTTATTGCATCCTAAACTATTAAAAAGATCTATCATTTCTCTACAAAATGGCTTTTGAGAGAAAGCTCAAAGCTCAAAGCTCAAAGCTCAAAGCTCAAAGCTCGCCTCAACTCGATTCAAAAAGGCAGTTTTGTGTAGAATTTTCAATTGCTGTTTTAAAGAAAATCGCTGAACGGATCGTTTTCAAATTTTACAGAATTAAGTAATCAAATGAGCTCTATCTTTTTTACTTTGGCACTAAAATAGATTTGTATTCAAGAATGTGCCCAAATTGCGACTTCGGCATCGAAGTAGTTTTGGGCGCTCGCCTTTGCGCCTTTGAAAATCCATTAAAACAACTATTTCCAAGAATTTCCAAAAAAGCCATTTTGCAGAGAAACAATTAAACTTTTTAATAGTTCAAATAGTAATTTTGTTGAGTGGCGACATTATTTTTTAAAAGATGCCTGGAAAAAAGACTGTAAAGACTTAAACTCCAACGTAATATCTTTCAAAACCCCACCTTGTCGCCGCTTCATCCATCTTATTCATATTGATCGTGGCATCCTCTCTTCCTCGATCCAATTTCCTCACTCCATGCTCGTACACAAGCTCAATTGTCACCAATTCGGCTTTCTTTGCCCTTTCCTGTGTCTGCTGCAACACTTGTCCCATTTTCTGTTTCTCTGCATTCATCGCTGTCTCCATCTTCTTCATCTGCTGCTTCAATTCCTCGTGTGCTTGCATCAAACGTGCGTGCTCCGAATCTTTCCCATTGATCTCATTCTGCAGATGTCTTCTCAGCTCCTCTTTCGCGGCTGTTTCCTTCTTCAAGCGATTCTCCGATTCCTGATACTTTTCTTCTCAGCCGAGAGATCTTTTTGAATATTGTCCTTTTGTTCTCTCAACTCATCCTTTTCTTCAGCCATCACAGTCAACTCTTTGATTCGTTTCTCGAATTTCTTGATCTCTTTGTTTTTCTCTTTTAGCTGATTATTTAGCTTGTCTTTGATGTCTTTTTCTTGTCGGAGTTCGCTGAGGTGTTTCGTGAGAGTCTAAATTTGTAGATAAAAGAATTTGTCACGTTATTTACGTTGTTTTAAGCTTTCAAAAGCTTTCTAGCTTTCAAAAATTTCAAAATCTACCTTTTCCGCTTTCTCGACCTCTTTCTTGTGCTCTTCGACTTGTTTCTGCATTTTCACCTTCTCCTTTTCGAGTGTCAAGAACTTTTGCTCGACTGCCGCAACTGCTTGCATCAATCTAAAGATGATTTAAATTAGATTATAACCATTATCTAGATATTATAAAGATATCTAGATATCTAGATTATAAAGATATCCAAAAGTCTTTTTCGTTCCTTTTCATAATTCCGTTTAAAAAAAATAACAAATTCACCAATTAACCTATGAACCAATTAACCAATTGACCTTTGTTCTAAATAAAAAGTGTTTATTGTTCAATTCCCCATCTTTTTAAGTCAATTTCGGTTTAATTTTAAGTAAATTCGAGAGTAAAAAAAAGTGTTTTTTCGGTAAAAATCTATCAAAATCTTTACGAAGAAATTTGCTGAGTCAATTTCTCTCAAAATTTGTCTATATACCTAACTTTTTGTGCTCTAGCTTTTATCTATTGATACCAAGATAGGTTTCTTTTTCTAAAATCTCTTAGCATCATCGAGCCGCCCTTTTTGACTATCCGACTTCACGTTCCCAAAAAAATCTAGACATAAAACATTTGAAAGCCATTTTTAATGTTATTTCACAGAAAAATGATTGGGCTTTCTAATGAAACAAACGGTAGATCAATTGGTGCATTTGTTGGTTTAAAAACAGAAGTACGAAAAGGAACGAAATGACTTTCTGGACAGCCTAATAGATCTTAAAGATTTCTGGAAAGTCTAATATATATGTAGATGATTTTTACCATCATTAGAACATAATATAAATCGTTTTTAGCCATCATTAGAACATAAACTTAAACCGAAACTAGCAAGATACAGTTATGGATTCAACTGCTCACCTTTCTCCATCTTTGTTGTGAATATAGTAAGCGTATTTTTCGGCTTTCTGTTGCAGATTGTCCAAACGAGCCAAGTGACGCGACAACAAATAATCCTCTCCACCGTGTCTAAAAATATTAAATAATATAGATGAGTTTTTTTTAGATTTTAGATCAATAACTTATGGTTAAATAAGTTTTTTCCATCATTAGAACATCTATTTAAACCAAAACTAGCAAGATACAGTTATGAACTTGAACTAGTTTAGGTTTCCTTTGTTTTGCTTGCTTTGTTTGCTTTGTTTTGCTTGCTTTGTTTGCTTTGTTTTGCTTTGCTTTGCTTTGTTTTGCTTTGCAGCTTTGCTTTACAGATTACAGGTTTAACAGAATGATACATTTAAGTCGAATAAACCGTTAGTATACAAGAAAGAGCTATTTTTAAAATACAAACTTGTCTTCATTGTGAAGTGGACTTCCCGAGTCCTCATCATCCTCGACAACCACCATGTCGCCGAGTTTGCAAAGGGATCGCAACGCTGTTTGCACATCAGGATTTCTGATTCTAAAAATAATAAATAAGGTAAAATTAAAGAGATTTAATGAAGGGATTATTTTTATGGCATCTATTAATAAAACTTCATTTACTAGAATTTCTTAAAAGAGCAGGCTTTGTCCCTGAGAAGGGATGTACACCGCCTCCAGCACCTATTTTATTGAAAAACAACACCTATTTTATTGAAAAATTTCCTGAATCCGAAAAAGTAGATCTCCAATGTACTAGACAGACAAAATTTTTGAGGAAAAATGGCTTCAAAGTTCATGATTTTTGAAAGGTTTTTACGAATTCCTGGTTTCGTCCAGCTTCTAATGCTCAATTACGTCAAAAATGCCTTGTAACCGAATGGTTATGGTTAGTGAGGGCGTCCTATCCATTTTCTCCTCTCAATAAAATTGTTATTTTGTAAAATGGCTAAAAAACTATTTTCAAAACCAGCGTGACTTTCGTTTGCAACAACTAAAGGTATATTTGCTCATAGAAATCATAAATCGCTTTCATTATTATATAAATTATAAATTTGATCATATTAGATTATAAATCGCCTAGTTTCACCTTCATTTCCTTACAATTAGACATTTCTTGGCAAATCGTTCAATTGTTTTTAGCTGTAGTTTTTTAGCTGTAGTTTTTTAGCTGTAGTTTTTAGCTGTAGTTTTTAGCTGTAGTTTTTAGCTGTAGTTTTTAGCCGTCCAATTTTGTCTTTGGCTGTAAACTTATCGATAAAATTCTAGAATAATCAGCCAAGAGACGAGAGACGAAAAGCAAAAGTGAAATTAAACGAACTTGTCAAATTCGTTTGGAATTTCTTTTGCCCTACATTCTGCTACTTTTGTGTCAACTTAGTCTGTTTAAAAACTACTTGCCCTAACAAAATTTCCAATATTTTCAAAAAACCCTCACTTTTTGTCGATGTGTTGCGTGATGGCGCTGAGCTTCTCCTCGGCTTTTTCGCGTTCAAACAGCACACGGCGATCACCGACAACGCGATGTTCACTTGTTGATTCGGTAGCTGCAAATGTATTCTCATTAGATTTTGTTTTCTAGTACAAATAACTACAATTTACAGTTATACTTAAATACTTACAGTTATACTTAAATACTTACAGTTATACTTAAAAATTCAAGCTTACCACTTGTCCTGGATACGGATTGTAGAGATTTCCCTCGTAAACATTCGGCACCTCGGGGTTGAGTTGCGACTAAAATAAAAGAAATACAGTTTTTTAAACAATCAAAACTTGTATATTTATTTAAAATCATTGGAACCGTATTAGATCAAAAAAAACCGTATTGGAACCGTATTAGAACCGTATTAGATAAAAAAACCGTATTGGAACCGTATTAGAACCGTATTAGATCAAAAAAACCGTATTGGAACCGTATTAGAACCGTATTAGATCAAAAAAAACCGTATTGGAACCGTATTAGAACCGTATTAGATCAAAAAAAACCGTATTGGAACCGTATTAGATCAAAAAAACTTTTAAAGCTTTTAAGCAAACGTGTCTATTTCTTTAAAATCAAAAACTTTCGAGCTTTTAAACAATCAAAACTTGTCAATAAATTTTAAATCAAAAATTTTAGAGCTACAAATCAGTAACGTACACCGGCTGGCACATTGAATCCTTAATTTTAAAGAATATAAGCAATAGAGCAGTAATGCGTTTTTAAAAAGATTAAAATTGACAAATTTTCAAACATTTTGAAAATTATCGCAAAAAAATTGGCGCGAAAAACACGAGCGTCGACTTATATGGCTCTAAAGATATTCAGCCGTTTAACTGATTTGGTGGCAAATTCCCTTCAAATGTAAAGATATTCAATTTACTGGACGTGTAAGGAGGATTACTTCGTAGTCACTCGACCAAAAACGTCGATTCAAAATCAAGCAATCAATTTTTTTTTCACTAAAATCGCCTGTGGCTATTTTGACAGGCTTATCATTTGTTTATTGCTTAGATTTTTGAAGCGAAATATTTTCAGCTTAAGTTTTTGAAAACTCACATTTACCGTTTGATCATCGAATCCTCTCATCATCGTCCAAACTCTCGCGAAAGTGTGCTTCAAGAACTCGTTTGTCGACTCGTCCACTTGCATCTCGTTTGTGCACTCGCGGAACTGAATTTTTGAGAGTTAAACACACAAATTTTCAAATTCAAATTTTCCCAAAGATTTTTCCCCAGGTGCACTTGAACAAAATTTGAGCATATCACCTACAAAAAAAAGCTATCACCAACACAAAAAAAAAACTACGAGAATCGTGCACATTTAAGCAATAAAAGACTGTGCATTGAATTGAATTGTACTTTAAATAAAGTACTTTAACAATTTTATGCAAATGAACCTATTTAGCAATTTGTTTACCAGAAGGTACACGTTTGGAAAGCACAACGTACACAAGCCAAACACTGGTACTTTATGCTCTAGTAAACACACATTTTCTGGCACACTGTCTAAATCTAAGTGTGCCAGAAGGTGTGTTACAAAGAGCACAAAGTACAAAGTGATCGGCTGTAAACGCACTCTCTCTAGCACGTGCCTAAGCGTGCCAGAAGATGTGTTTTCTAGAGCTCAAAGTAAACGCATTGCTAAGCACGTTCATTTCACATAAACAATCATTTCCCGTGTGATTTTTTTTTTCTATTTCTACCTGTTTCTCTAGATCTTCAGTGCTCAGCCCGGGTGGTGGAGGCATTGAGGCCAAATGGGCAGCCGCCTGAAAAAACACCGAGTGCCCTGGCCAGTTTCTTTTTCTTTTTCTTCTAACATTTCCCAAACACAATCACACTTTTGCTGTTTATTTTTCGAAAATCTCGTTAATTTAGAATCTTTTCTGAAGATTTTTTTTCTTTTCTAGAGCTTTTTCTTTTCTTTGAACTTTGAACAAATCAAAATAAACAGCAAAAGCAAAACTTTTCCAGAAAAAAACGACTAAAGCTCACAACTCTAGCATTCAAAAAAAAGGGTGCCCTATATTGTTGACAAACATGCGTTCACGCAAAAAAAGGGCACTTTTGCATAAGATGCGCTGAAGCTTCAAGAAAATACGCACCGGCTTCACCGGCGCCTAAATTGCTAAATAGACTGTCAGTCTGTATTTTCTAATAAAAACATTTCGTAATTCTATTTTGTATCTTACAAAATGCCTTATTAAATATGACGAACTGCAAAGTTGGTGCGTATTTTCTTGAAGCGTCAACGCGTATTATACAAGGCACCAAAAAAGTCAGCTCAACTTACCAATCCTTGGACGAATTGAGAGGCGTCGAGCATTTCGTGTGGTGGTGGCATCATTGAGGTTGGTGGTGGGATTGGTGGCTGAAAATATGGGATTTAAAAGATGAAATCTTATGTGAATTGTTTAAATCCATTTATTTTTCACTACTTCTTTGATATCAATAATCTTATAGGACGGTTTAATATTTTAAAAATTCGGCTTTCTTATTCCATTTTTCTTTTCAGAATTTCTCAAGTAGAGAGTTTGAGGTTAACGACGGATTATCTCTTGTCACTGTACGTACGTTTCCTATCTACCTGTGTTAGCTGTGCTTGTTGCATTGCTGCCAACTGTTGACTGATCACTTGAGCATTTGCCGCAGCTTTTCCGCTAACCGCCGTGTTTTTTCTTCGTCACCGTTTTGATTTGTCGATTTGAGCGTTGCGTAGCATTCAAGCGAACGGTTGGAACGGGCACTGTTTCGCCAACGGCTGGATTCTAAACAAAAAACTTTCGTACTGTTTCGTACTCTTTCGTACTGTACAAGTTCTAATTACAATTTCTACTACAGAATAAAAGACGTTACCTTTTTCGCGGCCTCATTTTGTGCCAACACCACCGTCTCACAGAAGGGCTCCGTCTGACATTCGCTGTCCGATTTTTCGGTCCAACTGAAAAACGATCCTTCAATAGTTCGTTTACGGTTTCTCGACCAAAATAGAGTTGCTCGAGTTTCTCGGCGAGAATGCAATGATCACAGCGCTCGTCCACATCACAGCGACTCCTCTTCAATTGTGGCCCGTCACCACTGCCCGAATCGCTTTCCGATGAGCATGAAGCACCGTCAGAGAATGAGCAATCGTCCTCCAACTGGATGAAATTCTATACGAGTTATATTTTTCATAGGAGAAAGGTTTTTTTCTTTTTTTAAGATTAGCTAGACTACGGTAATGAAGGTAAAGACCAGCCAGACTATGGTAATGAAGGTAAAGATCAGCCAGACTATGGTAATGAAGGTAAAGATCAGCCAGACTACGGTAATGAAGGTAAAGATTAGCCAGACTACGGTAATGAAGGTTTTCTTTAAAACGATTGCTGTCGCTTTAAAGAAAACCCTATTCTAGAAAGAAAATAAAGGTAAAATAAGCTATTTAAAGAATCTAGTGAAAAAAGTGTCTGACTGAAAAAACGCTGACTCTGACTGACTATTTTACAGCTAAAGACTAAAGTTTAAACAAATTCTCAAACTTTTAAGTCAACATTTGGCTTACGGTAGAAACATTACGGATTTACGGTAATAAACTACCGCAATAAAAACACTTTAAAATCAAACCACTGAAATAAGGAAATTTTTAGAAATAAATTCGACTTGTAACGAAAACATCTGTTGACAATTTAAGGTTTTTCGTGTTTTTCTCAGCACCAATCCTTTGACTTTGACTCTTTTGACTATCATTCAATGCAGAATAAAATTGCGCGTCGAATGATACCAAAATGAACTTAAAATATAATATCTACGCAAAGTTGTTAACTAAAAACCAAAACCCCGCCTATTATGGGCGGGACTTAATCTTTTGCCGTTGGCAATTTAAGGTTTTTCGTGTTTTCTCAGCACCAATCCTTTGATTTTGACTTTCATTCGATGCTGAATAAAGTTACGCGTCGAATGATACCAAAATTAACTTAAAATGTAATATCCATGTAAAGTTATGAGACAAAAGGTTAAGAAATGGGCGGGGTTTAGGTTTTTAGTTAATAACTTTGCATGGATTTTATATTTTGAGTTAATTTTGGTATCATTCGACGCGCAATTTTATTCTGCATTAAATGAAAGTCAAAATAGACAAAATCGAAGGATTGGTGCTGAGAAAAACACGAAAGACCTTTTATCAACGATAAAAAAGAACCGACAGATGTTTTCGTTATCATTCTAAAACAAATTATGGTAATAAGGCAGTTTTTAGAATCGGATTAAGTAGTAAGAGATCTTTTACAATCAACATACAATAGTTTAATAGCTTTTAGAATCGAGCTACAGTAATCGGACACCTTTTGTTACTTTAAAATCGAACTACGGTAGTGGGAAAGCTTTTTGGAATGAGACTACGGTACTATGACACCATTTAGAGACAAGCAGCGGTGCTATTAAACACCAAATTCTTCCTCAGATAAAACCCTATCCAATATCTCCTTTTAAAATCACTTAAAACAATGAAAACCTACCCAAAACAGTCTCACTTTTGCGTCCAACCATCCCATATTCTTCTCGATGATAAACGCTCGATCCTCTGTGCTTTCCCTTGAATGTCGGTTGCCATAAATTACTCAAATCCATCTCATTGATCGCCTCTTCCGGTTCACTTTCCACCAAATCTTCGCCTCGATTCACTCTTTCCATATATGCTTCAACGAACATCGTCGCTTTCTTGATGATCAATTGTCTTTGTAACTCCATGTCCAAAGGGGTTGAATTGAATTTGTTTGGATAGTCCAAACGAGCGACATGAAAGAGTTGATCAAACATGTAGCTTAAACCGTCCTGAAAATAGAAATTTCGAATTTTTACAGAATCTAGGTGATTTTCTAGTTTCAACGTTCAATCCAGAGCTTACAATTTCAGTTTTCAGCTTTCAATCCATGAAAAGTCTTCCCAAAACTGTTTCTTTTCAAATCCCAAGCAAAAATCACTCACCCTAGTGTCCTGTTCATCCAGCTGGATCGCTTCTGGTGGCATCTCGTAGAATTGTTTTGCCAAATTTGCATAACTATCCTCTCGATGTCCACGAAGGAGAACATTCTTCGAGAATCGTCCACTTTTCACGTCCACTTTCTCATCTCCATCTTTGCTGTCATCTTTGTTTTCCGTTGGTGGATTGCCCGGTGGAGTTGAGGCACGATTTTTCTGAATTTTTGAAGGTTATCAGTCATTTGATACAAGCTCCGCCACCTTTGCCATTGGCAATCTAGCTTTGAGTACAAATATCTTGATGTTAGGCGGTCCAATTTCAGTATTCTTGATATCATTAGATGCGCTAAGTCTTTCTCTATCGATTAGTATAAAAACTATTTAAATTGAACGGCCAAACACCGAGGAATTTGAGCTCAAAGTTTGATTGTCAATGGGAAAAGGGGCGGGGCCACTGGGCCATCTTATATACGCCCCGCCAGTTTCATTTAATTTAATGAGATCAATAATTTATAAATTGAACAACATCAAGAAATTCGAGCTCAAAGTTAGATTGGTAAAAGGGGCGGGGCGCGTATAAAAGGTCTTACAATGGTCCCGTCCCTTTGCCATTGGTAATCCTAACTTTCAGCTCAAATTTCTTGGTGCTGGAATGTCCAATTTCAATAGTTTTTGTACCAATCGATAGAGAAAGACTTGCCGCATCTAATGATACCAAGAAGATTTAAATTGAACAGCTCAACACCAAGAAATTTGAGCTCAAAGTTAGATTGCTAATGGAGAAAAGGGGCGGGGCCTCGCGTATAAAAGGTCTCACAATCAATTCACAACAAAGATCTATTCCTACAAGATTCTTGTAGCACCTGTACCTACATTACTTACTTCAAATCATTGTTAAATACTCCAGAAGCCCCTATAGGATCGTCGCGTAGTCTAAGTTTACTCTTCAAACAAACGCTCATATCTCAACACCAGTGCTGTTGTTTCCACTCGTTTAGGTATCAAATTAAAGTAGAGAAAATGGGTAATTTTTTGAGATATAGAACATATTTCTAGCATTAACCAGAATTTAGAAAAAAGTGATTGAAAAATGATAAAAAACTCGGCTTCTTTTTTATCAAAAAGTGGAACAAAAAAAACGATTTTTCATCATTTTTCAATAATTTTGTTCTTTTTTCTCTTTTTCAACGAACCTTTTTATTGGTCGGATTTTTCTTCCCATTTTTTCCTCCTTTTACAGCTGGTATTTTCTGAGCAGTGTTCTGAGTGAGCGCCAATCGAACAGCATTTTGCGAGGCGTTCTCATCATCCGGCACGCTTGTCAATGTACCTATAAATAAAGATAAATAAAGATAAATAAATGATCAATGTTTTGTGTAAGTTTCTAGATTCGATGATAGGATTTTGTACTCTTTTTTGGCACTTTTTGCAGCTTTTATTTGTTTAATAGCCTATTTACTTTCAATTATTCATTCAGTTTAACCAGAACTTCGTTAGAAGTCGATTTTTGATCGCAAACAAATGCTAAATACAAAGCGAAATTGCATCAAAATCCAACAGTTACGATATTCTAGTTCACTAGCCACTAGACTAAAGCAGAAACTAACACTAACTGTTTTTAGAAACTAAAAACAAACAACAAAATTGTTTAGTCATAAACTAAAGAAATAAACTAAAAATAAACGAAAATAGCGGCGTTTTCTTTGCCAGATACAGGGTGCGGCAAAAGTTCTGACACTTTTTCTGTAAGCAGTCATTTTTTTTGGCTTCAAAAACCCCGTGAATTTCAAAAAACTAACGCCGGATTCTAAAAATTTACGTAGTTTCACCCCAATATAGCCATTTTCATAAAAAGATTTCAACTCTCAATAACTTTTTGACGAGAATTTTTTTATATCCCGGTCTGGTCGCCGAAGATTTTTGCGAAAGTTGACTTAAACTTTGCAGAATGAAATTTTTTCCAAAAACTGCTGTTACCATTTGATAGAACTGAGTTTTTTTTTTTCTTAAAAACAAGCCACAAAAAAAAATTGATATCTCAAAAACGAAAAATTTTCAAGCTATTCTATTGGGTTGATGCATAATTATCCGGACTTCTTTTGCGTGCTTGTATCTTTTTGTTTTGAAAGCTTTTTGTCTATTTCTTTTTTTAAAATATTCGTTATTCTTTAGTGAACAAAATGCGTGTCGACAATCATATCCATCTTCGCCATATCATGCTCTACCACTTCGAAAAGGGATGGTCTGCCGCAGAGTCGTTTCGCGATCTCAAAGAACTGGAGAAGCCCCAACGGACTACCACGTCAATCGATCGCTCAAAAATTGGCAAACAAATAAGATCTACAACGATTTGGATGACTTGATAGACGATGTTAAAGCGTGGATTGCCTCCAAAAGATCGTTTATTCTTCGCTCGTGGAATCGATCGTCTTCCAAGCAAATGGCAATCAGTTATTGATGTAGGCGGTGAATATGCTCCAGAATAATCAATTAAACATATTTTTCTAACTATTTATGTTATTTTTTGTTAAATAAAATCATTTATAAAAGAAGTCCGGATAATTATGCATCAACCCAATATTAGGTTGTCCAATAAGTAATGCGTGTTTTGACACGATTTTCAAAATATCACAAAATTAACAAAAGAGAACTTTAATAATCGATATATTCTCCACAACAATCAACAACATTTCTCCATCGTCCGAGCAAAGGGTGAAGTCCGTCATAATAGAATGAAGCTGGTTTCGATGAGTAACATCGAAATAAGTAACACGCATTACTTATTGGACAACCTAATACAAAGGGCACCCAAATCTCAACAGCAAAAAAAACTGCTGTAACGACCTTTAAACATTCTCATCAAAAGGTTGTTTAGATAGCGATTTTTGTGTAAAAAAGTATATTAGGGCGTAAAAAATCTGAATTTTGATAATCCGGTGTTAGTTTTTCAAAAATCGCGTTTTTTCCAAGTCAAACTGCCCGTTTACAAAAAGTGTCGGAACTTTTGCCGCACCTCTGTATCTGTAGCGTTTCTCTAGTATCAAAGATTGAAATTTTGATCTATCTATTAGAAATCGATAATTTATCTATTCACAAATCACTTTTTCAAACCATCATCAATTCTTCTAGTTCTCAAAAAAAAAAAAAAGCAAAAGCTTCTCCCCACTTTCCCCCTTTCCCCATTCACCTAACCAACACACCCAACCTGAGTATTTACATGACCGTTCTTCACTTTTTTTTCTCTTCTTTTCTCCATTTTTCTCTAATTTCTCAAATTTCCCCAATCCTTTTCCTCTTTCAATCACTTTGGCTGTAAAGTTAGCACGTGTCCAGTTGAGAAAAGAACGCAAAAAATTTTTTGAGACACACCGATTCTTTCGCTTTTTCTCTTTTTCCTCTTTTCCCTTTTTTATCACACTCTACCCCACTTAGGCAAATAGCTCCCATTTTTCTTTTTTTCAATCGTTTTTTGGAGTATAATGTATGCGAGAAGAGTTAGAGACAAGTTTTTAAAGGCTTTAAGTTTTAAAGGCTAAAGGCTAAAGTCTAATGGCTAAAGGCTACAGGCTAAAGGCTACAGGCTAAAGTCTAAAGTCTAAAGGCTAAAGGCTAAAGTCTAAAGGCTAAAGGCTAAAAACTAAATGCTAAAGTCTAAAGGCTAAATGCTTGATTGAAAGACTATTAGGTTTGCGAGAAAGTCTTTGCCGTTCTATCAGATCAAATTGACACTCCATAGTCATCTAAAACTCAGTTTTAGACTAGTACAAAACAAAGAAGAGGAAAAGGAATAAATTTCCCTTTTTTAGAGCTCTGAAAGCGGTGATCTGAGGGTCAAGGGTTCGACCCCGGTGCGCGGCAGGTTTTCTTTGAAAAAATTTTGCTAAAATGATGAGTTTTGCGTTATCTAGGGTAATTTTCGATGCTGATTCTAAAAAACATGATTTCAATCTAGGTTTCCTTACAAAAAGAATGAACAAAGTTCATTTTTTTGAAATTTGGACTCTGACGCCCCTCAGTAAAACGGTTGTAAAAACTTTGAAATTAAAAAACAAAAATCACCACTTTCAGTGCTCTAAAAAAAGAAAATTTGTTGTTTTTATATAGAACAAACGATTTTTATTTAATTCCCTAGAAATTAGCTTTAAATTAGCTTTTAAATGAGCTATTACACGTCAAAATTGGACAAGTCTAAAAACTCAAAAAATCGGCAAAGACTTTCTCTTCAACATAATTTGATTCTTAGGTAAGCAAAAGAAAAAGAATTTATCTAGTGACTTAATTAGCTTCTCCTGGATAAACAGAGTATTAAAAACTGGGATAAAAAAGGTTCTAGAAAGTTTTGGAAACTAAAATTGTTGTCGAAGTGTTAAATATCTAGAGATTGATTACTATTAAGGGCTATTTGTAAAGCAAAATCGACTATCAACCTTATAAACTATTTTAAAATTCATTTTTATTACAATATTTGCTACAATATTTACAATATAAATAGCATTTTTATAGTTTCCCGGTAACTATCATCGATTTCTATAGACTAAACTCAAGCGAAACTGATTCTTTCGTGATCTCGTCGAACTCTGTCCAATCTATGCAATCTTTTCTTTTCATATCCATCTTCATCTCTGACTCTCTCTTCTTTTCCATCTTTTCTCTATTCTCAATCAATCAATAGCCAATCGTCTACCACTAACAGAAAAAAAAGAGAAACTATTCAAAAATTCTAATAAACATTAGATAGAAAGTCGATTTTTATATAATTTTTTACTGTTTTAAGTCATTTAATAAACAATTGAGCAACGCAAAATTGAATAAAGAAAAGGAAAACATGAGTTTACCTTGAAAAGCTTTAATTTACCTTGAAAACCTTTAACTACTATTAGGAAAATGGTAATCGTCTATTTTGTTCTTGAATTGATTAGTAAAACTGACTTGATGGTAAATTTTAAAACCGACAAAAAAGTCGTCTTTCTTTTAAACAACAAAACTTTTCTGTCGTCTTTCTTTTAAACAACAAAACTTTTTCTCTTAAATCCCTTTCCTTGATCACTATAAGCCTTCACAAAAATCTGGACATAAGAACGATGATTTGAGAAAGAAAAAAAAAACGATTTCTCATCATTACTCTGTAAATCATTTTTCAATTAATCTAACAAACCTTTCTGCTCGATCCTCTGAATACTCTCGACAAGTTTTCGCTCGACGAAAAATTTCTTCTGCTCTTCCAAACGTTCTTTGATCGCTGCATCACGGTCCTGAAAAGGAAAAATTAATCTAAAAAATATTTAAATGAATTTGTATTTCTTACAAGTTCATTTATGAATTCTAAAGGTTTTGAAGACCAGTATTTCATTCTTTCTTTCTTCTTCTTCCTTTTATTTCCTCCTTTCTTTCCTTCTTTCTTTCTTCTTCTTCCTTGTCTTTCCCTCTTTCTCTTGACAAGTTAAAGTACCGAATAGCTCAGTGGTTAGAGCAATTGCCCGAAAGATCAAGGCAAAAAGGCTCAATCCCTCTCCAGAAACCCACTTTTGCCAAATCCTTCACTTTTTTATTATCTGGCCGACAAAGTCTATTGTCAGAAGCTAGAGCTCGACTAGGACTGGGCTAGCTTCTAACCAAAAACTGTTAACAGTTAACAGTATGTATAACAAAATCTAGGACCTGTTTGGAACTGTTGAGAGCTTGCTAAACAATAGAATACTCACATTTTTCGTTGTTTTCAAGTATTAGAACAGTGTTCTCTATGCGCTCGAGAATACTCTCAAACCCAAGTAGTTAAACTTATCAGTTCACAAATTCAATAATTTGATTCAATATTTAAATCAATGATAAGCTTGGAGCTGAGTGGATCACTGAGTAGGATCTATTCTTATAACAGGAATGCTCCGACCGGGCCTACGATCTGTAAGCCCTAGTCCTGGATTTGACTGGTACAAGGACTCCTTGTGAACCAAGGTACAGGTCTAGAGGTTTGACTTCTAGCACTTTAAAACAAAAGCAATCGCTGGATCACTCAGTTTCAGTCAATTTTGCACTCACTTTGCAGAATTTCAACGCTTGCGCGTTCGCCTCCAATGCCAAATCGATGAATCCTCGCTGTTGCTGTAGTTCCGCCAGGTCGTACCAGCTTTGAATTTGCTTTTGAAAGTCCTCATAGGTCCTGAAAATTGGAAGAATACAAATGTTTTTCCTGTGAAACACTTACAAGATGTTTTTTGGCGTGTCCGCTTTAACAGACACCTCTAAAACGACTCGACCGTCTTTGATATAGCCTTGGTCTTCCTCCAAAATGTCCTGGAAATTAAGGAATTGATAAAACGGTAGAGTATAGCATTAAAATTTGATTATCTATTTAAAACATTTCAATAATTCAATAGATATATTATGAAACCAGGCCTAGATTCAAGTCTAACTGATCCAGAGCCGGTTTGACTGGTCCGACTTTAACAAAGTAAACGAGGCTTTGGTTTTAGGCAAATATTTCTACAGTCATTCGATTAACAAGCTTCTGTAAAAGCGATTAGATTTGGATACTGTAAAAGTCTAGTTTTCTAGATAACCTAGCTAAATTCTAATGCAAATTACAGACAAGGCTGAGTAATTTCAAGTGAAAAATTCACAGTCCTGATGATTGAAAGACACTGTCCTGATGATTGAATACTTTGAGGCTGTAAGGCTACGAACTAGACTTAAATCTACAGGTTTGATCCAATCAAATCCAACCAAGCCTACACTACAAACAGGATTCACAATCTCTAAGATCCATCAAAAAACATTGCACTCACCGCCCACGTCATGAAGCACGAGTATCCCCAATCGTTCTCCTTAGCCGTGTAGATGTGATTCGTTTTCCGGGTGAAATGGTTGACGCCCGGCTTCTGCGAGATCAAACGCAACTCCGCCGACGCTTGACATTGCCAAGCACTGCAATTTTTAGATACAAAGTGAAAAGTTCGCATTAGTAGATTTATCTTTATAATAAAACTTGTAAAACTTGTAAAAGTAAAAGCTGTAAAAGCCTAAAGTGTCTCAAATTTGAATGGTTACTCTTGTTTACATGGTTTGATTACAAATTTAATGGTTTTTAATGATTTTTACTCTACGTTAACCCTGGAGATAGGAAAAGTATGGTTTCAAAAACTTTTTTAGTATTGGCAACGATATTTTCTCACAGAAAAACGGTATTTTCTGTGAGCCAATACCGTTTTTCAGTTTGATCGCGTATCAATTTTCTACAATTTCTTCTCTAAACAGCTTTGATTTCCTTTTTTTTGATAACCTATCTAAAAGAAGAATAGTTTTTCTATAAAAACTATAGCTTAGACAGTCAAATTGCTTTTGAAATTATCGATTTTCAGCGTCTTAAACATTGTTAGTTGAGCTTAAAAATGGCGGGAGTTTAATGGAGTTGCGTAGATTGAAAAAACATTAAAAATAAACTTCAAAAAGCTATTCCTCTTTAAAACAAAAATGTATAAAAAGAAAAATAGTCGAATTTCTAAATTTTATTTTCATTTTACTCTATTTTGAGGAAGTTTTATTATAAAATCTATTAATGCGGACAAAACTTTTCCTTTGTTTGCCCTGTATTTGCTGTATTACTCGATTTATATTTACTTTATTTGTCATCCTTGTGAAAGTTATCAGATATGGCTTTCTCTTAACAAAAAAAAAAACTCACTCCGAGTACGCATCAGGGCAACATTGCAGAAAGAAACCGAGACATTTCTGTGTGCCTTTCTTCTGCACGACGTGTTGTCTCGGCATCACCATGATCTTCCTAAAAAGAAAGCGTTTAGATCATTTTTTTGTTTTATCTTTCATTTTTCTCTTCATTTTTCAATGTTGCTATTTAAATTGAATCGAAAATCGATTAGACAAAGCGAGAAGATTTCAGCTGGTTATATGCTGCAAAAGTTCAAAGCCACCTGCTTTTCAATCCTCAAATTCAGCTTTTAAACTAACAAAAAAAAACTATCCAATGCTGAATATTCTTATAAAAGTTTGTAATTATAGAAAGTTTATGTTAAATTTAAGGCTTTACAAGGAAAGATCAAGGCTTTTTAATTGGCAATATATCGCCAGAATCAATCAAAATGCTTGTCGCTTGAATTTCTCTCAAAAACCATCTGAATTTTCTGAAATTTCTAATTAAACGTAGTCAGTCAAAAGAAATTCTATTTTCTAAAATCTTTCTAAACGAATAGCAAAATTTGAGGTTTATTGAAGCTGAATGGGAAAACTTATAGCTTTAAAAAGTAATCGTAATCAAATTTCAACTTTTAGCTATTGTTTCACAAGAAAATATGGCTGAAAAGGTTGTTTTTGCTGAAGAAATTTCTTCTAGACCAAAATTTCATCTAGATTTCGAATTTCTAAACCGTTTTTCAAATAATTTTATCTAAAACCTAAATGTTGGCGCTAAAAGCAAGATGGCTTCGAACTTTCGTTGCACCTTTGGACGCGTTCTTAAAAACTTTGGCTAACAATTGGATTCTTGTTTTAAGTGTTATTGGTTTGAGTTCGAATTAGTCATTTCATCAGTATCATTTTCAAAAACTGACCATTGCACCCCGTTGATCTTTTACTTGGTCCTCGCACGGTGTCGTTCATATTCGGAAAATTCTGTATCATCAATCGGAGCACTCCTTCCGATGACGAGGATGAGGCTTCCGTTTGAGCGGCTGAAATTTTAGTTTTAGATAAAGATTTAGTCTTGTTCGCACACTAAAGATGCTAAAAATTGATTGGACAGCTAAATCTTAGTTCGGAGAACGGAGAAACATCCGTGAACCTTTTTCTTTAAGCTTAGCTTAAAGTTGTTGATCAATTGTTAATCAAATAGGATTTTGGATAGAAAATAATCAAATTTTGGATCAAATAGATCTGAAGATAGCTATCCAGTTTAACTAGGGAATTTTATCAACTCTATCACTATCAATTATATCATTTTATCAACTTATATAGAATAGATGTAGTAAATAAGTCAAATAATACTGAGTAGACATTTCAAAGTCAATTCTAGACTTGTGTTTGATCCAAAATAGTCGAAAGATCAACAATTTTAAATGAAATCTAGTGAATTTTGTTCCCTCATTACTTTTACCCTTTCTTACACTCACCTCGCACCGCCAACAAATTCTGTTCTCTCGGAAACTCGTCAGTTGAATCGGTTTGACACGCCACCGAGATCCCGTTCAAACGTTTACTCCTGAAATTTCTAAATCAACAAGATTCTATTTTACGATTTTAAGATCTAAAGAAAGATCTAAATTTTCTTTTAAATTTACCGTAAATTATGTCCACATGGCGGATGGTGACGCAAATCGTGGCTATAGCGAGGAAAACGCGCGAATGGCGAGCTCTCCTTTCGCGTAGTCGAGCCACCGCATTCTGAAAGGAGAATTTATTGGATTATTTTCAATTTAAACTTTGATTCACTAGTGAAAGTTATAACAGTTCTCATTTTCTTGCACAAGAATAAAAGCCTCGCTGTCGGCAAGAATCGTTTACTTGCACAAGTTTAATCCCCGCCCACCCCAGAAAACTATTTAATCAGTTTCTAAAGCTATTCAAGAATCAAAAGACTTTTTCTAACTGGTAATTTTGTAATCGTTTTGTCATTTTTGATCATTTTTTGCTTCTGTTTTCATCTATATAATTGTTTCAAAATTGTAAGAAAACTGCGTTAGATTATGAAGATGGTTTAACCTGGAACTAGTTAACTATATGTATGTTTTATATCCGATTTAGACTCAACAATAGTTTTAACAATTGGTTCGTTGATAAATCATGCTTTTATCATGTTTTTATCATGTTTTTATCATGTTTTTGTCATGTTTTTGTCATGTTTTTGATACGTGTTTGCACTAAATCGTTTTTAAACCAAAAAAGGTCAAAAGCCATAGGAAAACCCGTAACTTTTACCAAATTTAGCCATTTTTTTTAAAGAAAAGTGTACTCAGTTTTAGTTTTATGTCGTTGATGTCGCCAAATTGCCTCTAAAACTGTTAAAAACATGACAAAAACATGACTTACAAACGCAGCAATTGTTAAAACTATTGTTGAGGCCGATTATACGATTTAGATTGAGTCTAAATCGGATAAAAATCTAAATCGGATATAGTATATGTCTAAATATGGCTAAAAAGGCTAGTATACTTAAACTTTTTAAAGCCATTTCCATCTAAAGCTGTTAAAAACATGACAAAAACATGATTTACCAACGCAGCAATTGTTAAAACTATTGTTGAGGCCGATTATACGATTTAGATTGAGTCTAAATCGGATAAAAATCTAAATCGGATATAGTATATGTCTAAATATGGCTAAAAAGGCTAGTATACTTAAACTTTTTAAAGCCATTTGATTTACAAATGCAACCTATGAATTGTCTTTCTTTATTTACTTAGTATTTTTATATCTATATACAAATAAACTTATTTAACTTTAATCCTTCATTCTAACATCTAGATATCTAAGATCTTATACTATAATCAATCTTTTTTAGCCAAAGACTAATGGATTGCTCCTATGCGTTTTCCTAGATCTAGTACCGCTTTTAAATCCTTCATTCTAATATCTAGATATCTAAGATCTCTACATTTTAAGCCCTAAACATAAATCTAGAATCTACCATGCGGACTTGAGATCCCTTCCGAGATTGAATCGTTCAACATTTGTTGCGCGGTGGCTCCGGATGGATCGTCGTGTTGTGCGGCTGAGTGACCGCAAGAACCGCCCGCTTCTCCGCCTTCGTCGTGCATTGCCTCTAGGATTCTGTAAGTTAAAATTATAATCTTTAAAAAAACATAGAAAACATAGATAAAGAATAAATGAAAAGAAATTAAACAAATTAAATAAATTAAATAAATGCAATCCATCCACAGATTCAAATTGTCGAGTAAACATTTGAAAATTTGGATCGCCTTTTTGAAATCAATCGATACGAATATAACCAGTGATGCGTTGGTGTTGGGAAACTAGCAAAAATCTCTAATTTTTGAATTTAATACTAGAATAGATATAAGGGAAAGAGAATCAGCTAATAAAATCGATTTTCTTGATTCAGAAAAATAGCTAACCACTAGAAAAAACAATTGTGCTCATATTTTGCCAAATCTTTTACGAAGAGAAAAGAAACGATTTGATTTAGCAATTGCTATTTCCCAATAGACATAAAGACAAAAAAGCAAAAAGCGGTTCTTTTCCTCTTTTTTTGTCTTTTTTGATCGATCGTCGCGCGCGCGCGTCGAAGCGGGTCAAAAATAGCGCCGACGTGGATCTCTTTTTTACCCATTTCTCTTCACCCAAGGGAAATTCTAACAAAAACTGAATATTTCTAGAATATTTATAAAGTATAAACGGAAAGTTGAAGTGATATTTATTGAATTAAACTGAAATTAAAGGATTTAATCAATTTCTGGAGAGTTTTATTGGGATTAGCTTGTCGAAAGGTTGGCCCAAAGGTGTAATAGGGGACCTAGTGGTCCTAGGGGTCCTAGTGAGCTCTAGATCACGAATCTAAAGTTAATATCTAACTAAAACTGAATATTTATAAAGTATAAGGGGAAAATGCTATTAGCTTAAGCCAGCTATTAGCTTAACCTTAAAAATGGGACAATAAAAGAGCTATAACAGGAAAATTTTCTAAACAAAAAACCGTTTAGTCAATTCGACCAGTTTAACCAAAAAACTCTAGCAATAGAGAAAATTCGATACAAAATTATTCAGCTGAATATCTTATTACAAATATTAGTTATAGAAATTTCCATAAATCGCTTTTTTTTCAAATCTACCGCTCATTGCACAATTGGCAAGGCTTATTGCCAAGAAAAATTGCCAATGGCGAGAAATTGAATAGAACAAATTCCTATTTACATTTAAATGATTAAATCTTAATTTCCAAAAGAGAAACCGTTTTTTTTTTAAAGCCAAAAGCTTTTGGGGTCGATCGATCTTTTTTTTCGCTTTTTCGTCGCGTTTGCGAACGATCGACGAAGAGAAAAGAGGCTTGGCTGACGGGCTGGCTGTGTTTCTCAACTTTGCACAATCTTTGCAATATATTCAAGTTCTTTAGCTATCGACTAAATGAAAAAAAAGCTTAGCAAGAGTTTTACAATTTAAAATGCAATCAATTTTACTCAAAAACACTGATCTTTTGACACCAAATCTACGCTTAATTTCTCGTTTCACTTATAGAGGAGTCGATTAGATATCTATTAAACACTTATCCATTATCTTATCTTATCTAATTATCTTATCCAATACTGTATATCAAATCAAATCAAATCAAATCAATATAAATCAATATAAATCAATATAAATCAATATAAATCAATCTAAATCAATATAAATCAATCTAAATCAATATAAATCAATATAAACCAATCTAAATCAATATAAATCTATATAAATCTATATAAATCTATATAAACACATCAAATCAATATGTAAAAATCCAGTATTAGGTTAAAAATAGGTGAAATCCTACGTTAAACTGGCTACTTTTTTGAACTTGCGTTAAAAAACGTTAAATAAACCCATTTCTCAAGTTTCTTACAGTTAATTAGACAATTTTCTTTGCTTTCGATACTGTAAAATAGATTAGTATCATACTTGAACGTTTAAAAAATAGGTGAATAAATTGAGCAAGGATTGCAAAGCAAAGAAAATATCTTACAATCAAGTACAAGAAAGTCACGTCGTTTCTTCTGGTCTGGAAATAGTTACCTTTCTTATTTAATAGTTAATCTTGATCTGCTTGATCTTGCTTGATCTACCAATTCGTTACAATAAAAGCATTCTAATCTAATCTTCTAATCGAATAAAATTCTAATTACAATAAGGTTGGTTTACTCTTGAAAAATATAAGGACTAGCTTTGCTTCAGGAAAATCGTTCCAGGAGCCTTTAGCTCTAGGAGCATTTAGCTTCTTACTGATTATAGAAACTCTAAAAACATCTAACAAATTAATGCTTTAACAAAAAGTAAAGGGATTAAGCATTGAAAGGGTTCGAACCAGGGACCATAGAGCCGAATTGGATCAGGGCCGAGCACACTAACCACCACACCAATCGGTCATCTATTGGAGGAAAGTAATTCGGCGTTATACCGCGGCGACGCCGTTTTTCCAAACTTCAAAAGCATTTTCCTTGAAATGAGTCATCAAGACTAGGCTGGGGTCACTTAAACCAACAACCCAGCTTGCCCTATCGATCAAAAAATAGAAACATAGCAAAATTGAAAAACAATCCACAAAATCCTATTGGCTAAAACGCGAGATGCGAGTCGGGCAGAAGAGGGAAAATTTTTGGTGCACAGCCATCAATGTGGTGATCATCGAGAGAAAGAAAAGGAGTTCTTTCGATAGATTTCGGGAAAAGACGAGAAAGAAGAGGAAAAAGGAGAGGATTTTGGGAAGAGAAGGGAAAAAAGAGACGCGTTGCGGTGGAAAGAGCCGCGTCGCGTCCTAACACTGCCTCCCATTCCCATTTTGCCCCTCTCCCCTCTCCCAATTCCCCCAAAAGCGAATACGTGTGTGCGACTATAGAACCTTTTTCTTTTCCCTGTTCCTGGGTCTCTTCAATTTTTACTCTATTTCCCTTTTTCCTAGTCGAACAGCCCGCAGGCCGAAATTCGCCCGCTACGAGACCCCGACTCTACCGTAGTCCTAAATTGAAAAAGGATTTTTTTTTCTTTTCTATGTTTACAAATTGCTTTTTAGAGTATGACTAAAAAGAATTCAAAGGAAATGATGGTTTTAAAAGATTTCTTAAATGATTTAAGGGGAAAGTCATATTGAAAGCCAAGGCAAAGCCATATTGAAAGCTAAGGCAAAGCCATATTGAAAGCCAAGCCAAAGCCATATTGAAAGCTAAGGCAAAACCATATTGAAAGCTAAGGCAAAAACATATTGAAAGCCAAGGCAAAGCCATATTGAAAGCTAAGGCAAAGCCATATTGAAAGCCAAGCCAAAGCCATATTGAAAGCTAAGGCAAAACCATATTGAAAGCCAAGGCAAAGCCATATTGAAAGCCAAGGCAAAACCATATTGAAAGCCAAGCCAAAGCCATATTGAAAGCTAAGGCAAAGCCATATTGAAAGCCAAGCCAAAGCCATATTGAAAGCCAAGCCAAAGCCATATTGAAAGCTAAGGCAAAACCATATTGAAAGCCATGAGAAAACCATATTGAAAGCCAAGGCAAAGCCATATTGAAAGCCAAGGCAAAGCAAAGCCTAAGCCAACGTAAAACCATATTGAAAGCCTTGAACACTTTTATTGAAATGTAATTTATTCATACTTTATTCAAGACATGAAATAAAGCCTAGTCAATAAGACAAATGTTAATAAGACAATAAGACAAATGTGGAATCTCTAATGTAAATAAAGAAAAAGACTTCAAAAATTGAAAGCAAACACTCTAGGGACTACAAAAATGTTTTGCGAAAGTTTTACAAAAAAAGCAAAAGGCAGGGCGGCGAGAGGAGTCGAACCCGGGAGCAAAGATAGTACTAATTTGATAGACTAACGCACTATCCCCTAGACCGCCGCTGCTTTTCTTCCCGTCGGCGACCTCTTATAGGTGAGGTGAGAGTCTGCTTTTGCGGAACTTTGCATGTGCTTTTCTTGAAAGCCAAAGCCAGTGGGCAAAAAATAAACACAGCATCGGATTCGTCATGTACGATAGGCGTTTGCTTCGCCGTTTGCTTCGCCGTTTGCTTCGTCGTTTCTTCGTCGTTTGCTTTTCCGTTTGCTTCACCGTTTGCTTCGCCGTTTGCTTCGCCGTTTGCTTCGTCGTTTGCCTCGCCGTTTTCCTCGCCGTTTTCCTCGCCGTTTAAAAGTCTCACACCCTCTTTAGAACGTTCTCTTGTTAGGCACAGAGGAAGCAAATTTTCGTTAGATCTATACCAGTTAACTCAAATCTAGCTATAAACCAAATATTTGCGGTATTCAGATCGTTTTCTTGTACAGATCTTTTCCCACAAGTTTGTTATGCTATCCATCATTTTTGCGCCTTTTATGGAAAATGTGCTAGATGAAAAGAGAAAGAACTGAGAGAGCCTAAAGAGGACTAGCACAAGACTGCAGATCGATCCACTCTCTCTCTCTCTCTCAAGAGTTCGATTCACACCAAATCACATGTTTAAAGCGATACGGCCGATTCAGCTAAGCTTGCCAATTGTTTTTACTAAAAAATTGAAAAAAAAGTACTAGACAAAATGCCATACGTACTCTCTAACTATGGAAAGGCCTTTTTTTGGTCAAGGTGACTTTTTTGATGCGCACCCATTGTAGAACTTTGAATAGAGATTCCGAATCCGCTTTTAGTTTTTCCAATGGAGCTCTGTATCGCAAGATATCTCGCATCAAAGTCCCACAGTATTTCAGCCCAATTCCCCACACTAGATGATGGGAGCTGTGGTTTAGAGGTAACTCGCTAGCATCCAGCTAGAAGAATCCTGGTTCATTTTTTTTTCGCTTTTTTCAAAAACATTGATTACAATTAATAAAGAACGACAAAATGCAAATGTGATAAATGAAAATTTCGTCATCAAATGTGCATCAAAAAGGCCTTGACCTAGTGCCTTTCCCCAGTAAGAAAGTGGTAACAGTATGGCAGACTAGTGTGGGGTAAAAAATAATCTGGCATCAGTTTTTGCAAAGCTCTAATTGCATGACAATCTAGAAGTGGTTAAAAATAGTTTGAGACACAATATAGGGGAATTACAATAAAGAATCACAGAATCAGCGTAAAATTCTGCATCGGATGGTCTAGGTCTCATTTCGTTTAGCCACCTTGACTTCGTGACCTGCTCTTGTCAGATTAATGTATTGTCTTAGAAAGCCAAAAAGATGCATTAAGCGCAACGCTATGTATGCCGCATCCTGTACAGATGCAAAAAGAGACGCGCACAAAAGCAAAGTACTTTTGGATAAAATCTTAGAAATGATGAATGTTGGAGAGGAAGAACGGAGAAAAGCGGCAAAAACGATCAATATTGGATTGGTGTTAAAGATATAGGAATTGTGCTGAAAATTTGCCAATCAGGAGTCGAATTGAAGATTTTCTAGAAAGATTACGGATTTACTTCGTAAAATCTTGTTACACACCTAAACCTTCAACTTTTCAAACATTCTCATTTCGAAATCGCCCGTAAAAACCTTTATTCATCACACAAACGGCTCCTTTGGACCCTTTGTAAAAACTGCAAAATAAAAACAAGCTAAAAACGAGAGCAACACATCAAAGTATATATGCATCTAAAAGGTGAGTAAAAAAATATTAAAACAGTACCAATAATGAGAAAGCGTACAAACAATTAGTGATTAAAGTATTCAACGATCAGCTTCTCTCTGCCCTTCATAATTTGCGTTTCGTTCCAGAAAACACGAATCTAAAAAAGTATCTATTAAACCAGAGATTCAAGCGACCTAAATTCTATAATAAATCGTGTGACATAGCTTCGTGCAACTAATAAATCCAATAGTCTACCTTTTCAGCCTCCATCTCGTTGATGAATTGAGCAAGACAAAAAATGGAACCATCTTTGCCACGTTGAAGTGAGATATCCGGCCTAAAACAAAACAAAACAAAAATAAGAGTTTTGAGCGAAAAGCATACTTTCCATGACAAGTGACAAGCATCTTGTCAGTGCCAAGAATCTGTTGAATCACATCTTTGCACGTGAAATTTGGTGGAAGATTTGAGAATTTTAAATGAAGTCTGGCTCTCTGAAAAACAAGATTTAAATAGCGTTTTTTATATTTAAAAACCTTCATGAGAGCGGGTGTAACCATTTCTCTTTGACCGACAAAATTCAGGCGTTGTGAGGAGACGCATTTGCTGAAATAAAAAATTGCTGATGAAAAGTTGATACAAGAACAAAAAAGAACTGGGTGCTTTAGTAGTTTGGGAGCCCAGTTTGTAAAGGCCGATTTTTTCGAGCTTGCCACTAGTTTTAAAAACTTTTTCTGGGATAATTAATTGCACTGAATCCATTGGAAGCATTTATAAACTATTCTAAACAACTTTATGCCAGTTTGAGCAACAACTCTTTCAAGAGTGGCTCTATTTCCACTGGGTTTAGAGGTGCGGGACCGAATTAAGAGACTTAAAACCTCGGTAACTGTTTGAAATAGCCAGAAAACAGTCACTAAAGCTTAAATAAACACCAAATTAAGAAGCTACGCCATTAAAAAACCCTAGGAGTAAAAATTAGTGCGCTCTGGTTCACTAGAGAGGAATGTACGCTGCCCCTCCCCCCTCAACTACTATAGCAACAAGAACTCTATAAGCTATAATTCAGCTACGACTTTAGTAGTTTAGTAGTTTCAATACAAGCTACACATTCAAGAACGCACCCATGTATAGGTCTAGTCGACGGATCATTCTTCGCATGAACACTTTGTTGAATCCTTGTGGTATCCTAAAACAAATACCTTGCAAACACCAATATAACAAAAACCTGAGGTAAATGACACCGTTCCGGCTTGTTCATCCTTCCACGTGATCCTAAATGGCTTCCGGGAATGTTGGGTGCAAGATTTTGAGCAGAAAACGAGTATCTAAAATTAATTTCCAAATAGAAAGAAGCTAAAATTCACCGTCGAGAGGATGATATGTCATTCTGTAGCCCAACCATGTTCAGATTTTGTGTAGGCATCCATTGCCTAAAACAACAGAATTAATGCAATTTAACTCCAAGAAAGTTACATTTGTCCAAGTGGGATGCGGCCATAAGTAAGCTGAGCTTGTTGAGCTTGTTGAGCTTGTTGAGCTTGTTGCGCTTGCAGGAATTGCTAAAAGTAAATGATAAAAGATCAGTTTAAACCCACTGGCTAGTTTTACTCGTAATTTTTATTTCTAGATTACTTTAGTTAAACATTTCAAGACAAGAAACATTTTCAAAAAACGTAAAATGAACCTGTGCCATATGGAAAATCTCGGGGCCCCTGAACGGATCGAATTGAGGCGGCTGATTGTTGAGGATAGGATTTTGCATGAAACAGGAGCTTCTAAACTTCTAAATAAACAACAACAAACAAACAAACATGAATTACCGTCGATCCCAATATGTTTGCTCTGTGTGATGATTAAGTGGAGCATTCAAATTTCGATTAGACATGATCCAGACCTAAACAAGAAACTTTCATTACAAAAAATTCATCAAGTTTAATGCATTAAAGAAACAAAAACGTCTCAGTGTGGCACTGTTTGGTATCAAGAAGCTTAGCAAATAATTTCTAACTTAGTACTAAACTTCAAAATTACTAGCGAAATAGGGAAAAAGTTAGGAAAAGGATGCTTGTGGAGTATCCGGGGGGTCTTCAATATCCGTATCGTCTTTCAATATCCGGGGTGGTAAAATTTTAAGATCCAGTATCCAGTATTTTAATCGAGTATCACCTCGAATCACGTAATCAAGTATTCTGGACAAATGGTGGGACAAATGCGACCTTTTCTTTCGCTGGAAAAGGCCTTAGGCAAGGCCGTAGAGCTTCGAAAATATTTCCATATAAGGGAATCGTATGCGTAGATTCCGAATTTCGACAAATCAGACCTCGCTGACACGTCAAATTTGGGCTAAAACGCAAAAACTGCGGAAAAGCGTTAAGTTGCGTAGTTTTTGCCTTTTAGCCCAAATTTGACGTGTCAGCGAGGTCTGATTTGTCGAAATTCGGAATCTAGGCATACGATTCCCTCCTATGAAAACATTTTTGAAGCTCTACGACCTTTCCTAAGGCCTTTTCCAGCAAAAAAAAGGTGCGCAAATGTCCAGGTGCGCAAAAAAAGGTCGCATTTGTCCCACCCCCAAGTATTCACCTCGAATAAATCGAATATCTTTACATTTGAAGAGAATTTGCCACCAAATCACTTAAGCGGCTGAATATCTTTAAAAGGGGTCGTATATAACGTATATAAAATTTTACCCCAACGCGTCTTAAAATTTTACCACCCCGGTTATTGAAAGACCCCCCGAATACTCCACAAGTACCAGAAAAAATTGTAAAAGTTGCAAAAAGTGTTAAAAAAGTTGTGGAAAAGATCTTTGTTGAAAATGTGGGGAGTGGGACAAATGCGACCTTTTTTTTTGCGCACCCGGACATTTGCGCACCTTTTTTTCCGCACTTAGCCCATTAGCGCACCTTTTTTCGCGTTTCAAAAAAGCTCTAAAAAGCTAATATTAACCAATTTCTATTCCAAAATTTGTTTTTCTAGGTAATTTTAGGGCGTAGAATCGAAATTTTGACATATCAGAGCTTGTGAAAACAAACGGACGGAGTTATGCAAAGAGAAAAATCGACAATTTTCTGTAATTTGATCTAGCCGTTTTGTCTTGTTGTTCCACACGCTCTGTTATGTCAAAATTTGAATTCGACACCCTCAAATTACCTAGAAAAACAACATTTGGAATAGAAATTGGTTAATATTAGCTTTTTAGAGCTTTTGAAACGCGAAAAAAGGTGCGCTAATGGGCAAGGTGCGGAAAAAAAGGTGCGCAAATGTCCGGGTGCGCAAAAAAAAGGTCGCATTTGTCCCACTCCCAAAAGTTGCGGAAATGACCCAGTTGCGCAAAAAATTTTGCGGAAAGTGACCACCCCCAGGAAAGTGACAATTTTTCTTGCGGGAGTCTGCAAAATAAACGAGGGCGGTGGCTACTGTGCGCCAAATTTTTTGCCCAACTCGTTATAAATTTCTTCTAAGTGGGCGAATCTTTATGATTTTGGTGTAATTTTGTCGATCTCAAAAAGTGCAACAAAATAACACGAAAATCATAAAGCCTTGTAGTTTGTAGTGTCCATGTCTACTCTCCAATAGAAGAGCCGGCTCCTCTATTATAATAAAGAAAGTAGCAGAGTTTGCATTTAAAATTTAATTGAATAGCTCAAATTTGTGACAATTAGAAGCATTTTTTGTTCTTTTGCACTTCTTGAACTCATATTCATAAGCTAAATTAATTTATTTCCAAAAAATATCTTTTCTTCACGAAAAATCTCTTTATTTTCCGAATTGTTGCTGAGCGGCTTGAGTGTTTCCAGTGTTTCCGGTAAACGTGGGGACAACTCCTGTAAAAGTGATCCTTGAAAAAGATTCAGTTACAAATTTTATTTCTTTAAACTAAATATTTTGTGAAATTATTTGCCTCCATTGCAGCGGAAATTGTTGAAACAGCAAACACACGAGCGGCCATCGGATGAGGTGAAGCCGGCTGAGTTGCTCTGGAAAACGGTTTTGTTTTCGAACTTTCTAAATCTTCTAAAAGTTGCCTGCTTGCTGCTGTTGTTAAAAGCTAAAGCGTGTCAACTTTCGAATATTACTGTAATTTTGTCTCTACCTTTATCCAATCTAGGCTTTTTAATGGGAGCTGATCAAAACAGCGCCGTGTACAAACAGCGCCACGGCAAAAATAGTCCTTCCACGGTTAAATTTCTGTGTTTCTTATTCTTATTGGATACAGAATAAAATCACATACATTTTGCATACTTTGGGATCGCTTAAAACCGAATTGGTGTTGAGAAAAGCTCAGTTAACCTCTTTTTGAGCCCTGTTTCGTTTTTTTGGCATTTTCTCATCCCAGATTTGTTCTAAAGTTCAGCAGATAGCTCAGCAGATAGAAACATAAATAAACTTAACCGCAAGCACATCATTTTGGCCGCTTTGCTTTGATCAGCTCCCTTTTTAACTGATTTTTTGAGAGTTCACAAAGTGGATAGCTTGGATCAAAATAGACAAGATTACGGTAGTTTTTGAAAGTTGGCATGTTTTAGATGGAGAAGCACATTCTGTTACAGACTACAGTACCCCAAAAAATTCATAGTAATCTAGGTTAGTCTAGAAAGAATGTTACTTACTAGACTTGTAAGAAAAACATCTGTCGGTTCTTTTTTGCCGTTGGCAAAAGGTTTTTCTTGTTTTTCTCAGCATCAACCCTTTGATTTTGACTCTTTTGACTTTCATTCAATGGAGAATAAAATTGCGCGTCGAATGATACCAAAATCAACTCAAAATATAATATCCACGCAAAGTTGTTGGCTAAAAATCTAAACCCCGCTCATTATGGGCGGGACTTAACCCTTTGCCTCATAACTTTGCGTGGATATTATATTTTAAGTTAATTTTGGTATCATTCAATGCGCAATTTTATTCTGCATCGAATGACAATCAAAATCGAAGGGTTGGTGCTGAGAAAACCAAGAAAAATCTTAAATTGCCAATGGCAAAAGGTCAAGTCCCACCAATAATGGGCGGGGTTTAGGTTTTCAGTCAATAACTTTGCATTGATATTATATTTTGAGTTCATTTTGGTATCATTCAATGCGCAATTTTATTCTGCATCGAATGACAATCAAAATCGAAGAGTTGGTGCTGAGAAAACCAAGAAAAATCTTTTTCCAACGGCAAAAAAGAACCGACAGATGTTTTTCTTACAAGTCTATTGTACTAATGGATTAATGACTCGTTTTTCCAAAATACACTTTCCCACTGACCGTATCAATTCCCGATTGAAGTCCCCTTGATTGACAACATCCCATACACCGTCCCGTTCCAGCTCCATCCGAACAAGTGATGCTTCCAGTTTGACCGTCGAGAGCCGTGAAGAATTGAGTGTTGCGCGAACACGCTGAAAATTATCCACTTTCGAATCACAATGAATGATCAAATTTTTAAAGCAATAAGTCAGCGTCAACTTTCGGAGTCTGCATTAAAGTACGCTTGATTAGCAAATCTCTTGGAAAAACTCACAAAATCCACATGGGACTCCGGATTGTGCGCACACGGCAACGATGACCGCCGAAATGAGAAGAATTTTCGAAAGCATTTCTCGTAAAGAATCGAGATTTTTCCCGTTTCTCAAAAATTTATATGAATTTCTGTATTTTTCTTTGAGAAGTCAAAATATCCCGTAAAATCGTCTCATCCAAAAATTTCAAAAAAAGTTTTCTAATCGTCGATTTTAAAAATGATTCATGATTGTTTTGAATTTGCGCATATTTTGGTGGATTTCAGCGAGATTTCAAAAGGTTTATTGAAATTTGATTGAGATCGGTGAAGTTGAGAGCCAAGAAAGATCAAGGCCAGATCAGAAGTTAGGTTCTGGCTAGCCTAGCATTAAAGGCTTATTGAGATTTGATTGAGATCGGTGAAGTTGAGAGAGTTTAACAGTGTCCAATCACAATCAGCGTTATTCATCTTTTTGAAATGTGCTCGTAAAAGCTTAAAACTGTTTAAAGGTATGACTCTAATCGTAGCGCTCTCCAGAATGACGGGGTATTGCCGCCTAGTCTAACTTTTAACGTCCCGTTCTCCGTGCTCCTTTATGCTACAGTATTCGTTTCGGTGTCAAATGATAGCCCTTGAATTCATGGTTGTTTTGAATTTGTGGATTTTGGTGGATTTCAGCGAGATTTGAAATGTTTATTGAAATTTGATTAAGATCGGTGAAGTTGAGAGAGTTTAACAGTGTTCAATCACAATTACGGTAATACCTCTAATCGTAGCGCTCTCCATAATGACGGAGTATTGCCACGTAGTCTAACTTTACACGCTCCATAAAGAAGTTAGGTTCTGGCTAGCCTAGTATTTAAGGTTTATTGAAATTTGACGGAGATCGGTGAAGTTGAGAGAGTTCAACAGTGTCCAATCACAATCAGCGTTATTCATCTTTTGAAATGTATTCGTAAAAGCTTAAAGCTTTTACGCTTAAAGCCGTTTAAAGGTATTACCGTAATACCTCTAATAGTAACGCCCTCCATAATGACGGGGTATTGCCGCGTAGTCTAACTTTACACGCTCCGTTCTTCGCGCTGCTTTAAGCTATAGTATTCGTTTCGGTGTTAAATGATAGCCCTTGAAATCTAGTATTTTTTGGTACTAAAACTGTAGTTGGAAAAACTCTAGGAGCTGAGAAAAAAGGCTTTCGAAAAATGTACAAAAAGGTGGCTTTCTATTAGAGTATTCTATATACTTTTTGTATCTTTCAATAGCTTTTATCAAAGCAAAAATTAGATAAAAGGCGACCCTCATAATGCTGGGCGTACAGTTGCGTAGTCTAACTTTGAACGTCCCGTTCTCCGTGCTGGTTTATGCTACAGTATTCGTTTCGGTGTCAAATGATAGCCCTTGAAGTCATGGTTGTTTTGAATTTGTAGATTTTGGTGGATTTCAGCGAGATTTCAAAGGTTTATTGAAATTTTGATCGAGATCGGTGAAGTTGAGAGAGTTTAACAGTGTCCGCGATGACAATCAGCGTGATTCATCTCCTGAAATGAATTCGCGAAATATTAGAAAACGGTTGGGCCTTTTTGATCTTTTTAGGTACACTTTATTTTGATAAGAGTTGTTTAAAGGTATTATCGTAATAACTCTAATCGTAGCGCATAATGACGAGATAGTGCCGCGTAGTCTAACTTTACCCGCTCCGTTCTCTGCGCTGCTTTATGCTACAGTATTCGTTTTGGTGTCAAATGATAGCCCTTGAAATCTAGTATTTTTTGGTACTCAAAGTATAGTTGGGAAAACTCTAGGAGCTGAGAGGAAATGATTCTAAAAAGAGTCAGACTACGACGGAGGGCGCTACTATTAAAGGTATTACGGTAGTCAAGCCAAGAAAGATCAAGACCAGATCAGAAGTTAGGTTCCGGCTAGCCTAGCATTAATATAGGTCTAGCTTATAAAAATTGATTCATGATTGTTTTGTTTTCCTGGGACGGCAACTTTCCTGGGTTCGCCAGCAGCCAAACCGGACCTTGACCCTGCTTGGCTTGGACAAGGTCAGTAAGTCCTCGTTCAGGCGCTGTTACCTTATTCTTCCTTTCTTTCTCTTCCTTATCTTTCTAATTTCTTCTCGGACAAACAAGGCGCCGATAGCTCAGTAGATAGCTCAGATGTTTTTGTTGCAAGTCTATTGTACTAATGGATTAATGACTCGTTTTCCCTGATAAGCATAAGGTCGAGGGTTCAATTCCCCTCGTTTTCAAATTATTTGCCATACATTTTACTTTATTACGACATGAAATTTGAGATTCTCTCACCTTCATCGCGTACAACAATCCGGGAATGTAAAAAAGCATTGTCAACAGGATACAAATGCACATTTTTCGCCCATCACCCGTCGCTAGAGCCACGGTCATTGGCTGAATCGATAAAATAGAAGAGATAAGTTTGAAAGATTTCAAGAATTCCTAAGTTTTTGGTTTTCATTTAAAGCTTGATCTTAAAAAGTGTACTTTTTTTTGAAACACTCCTGGTACAATCAAGACTGTGAGCATATACTTGGTGCTCTCACGTAAACGCTTCTTTCTAGCGCACTCAATTCTTGTATTCATCATCCTCCTCACAGCAACGACTATGCCAGAAAATGAGGGATTCTGTGCACTAGAATCTGTGCGCTTCCAAGCAAGTGTACTTGGAAGCGCTTCCAAGCACAAAGTACACTAAAGTAGGGCCAGAAAGAGTGCGTTTTTGAAACTTAAAATGCACAAAGTTTATTTCAAAATTAAGCTTAGAAAAGAATAGAAAAGATTTTTCTTTCAGTGCTTTATTTGGGATAATTTTTAGAATACTATAATTAAACAATTAATATAATTACCGTATTTTCTCCAATAGTAGTGCACCCCGCCTATTTCACGGTTTCCAAGCTTTCACAGAAGCTCAACACTCAAATCCCCTACTAGATCTCATCGTTAGCTACATTTTCCAACCCCACATCGATAGGTTTTGATAAGCGGTTGACGAGATTTCGAGCAATTTAGGCGCTCAGGCGCTACTATTAGAGAAAATGAGGTATCCGCGTTTGTTTGAATAGTTTTATAAGTGAGTTTTATGAAAACTTAGTCCTAAGATAGTTTCCAGGGCTATTCTAGGACCGAATTTCCTGACCAGAGCCAGATCACACTCATGAGAATGATTGTTCATGACTGTCTTGTCCTGGTCGAGCCTAGAAAGTTTTGTAAGTCAGCCAGGATCAACTATGACTAGCTCTGGTGATACAAAAAGCAAGCTAAGTCAAAGCTAGTCAAAGCTAAGACTAGACTAGTCCAAAAAGCTTCTGATTAGGCCAAGCTTGATGTAACCAGCCATGGCTTAGATCTTGAATAAACCATATACCGTATTCTCTCTAATAGTAGTGCACCCCGCCGAGTTGATGACTATTTTACGGCTTCCAAAGTTTCCACAGAAGCTCAACACTCAAATCCCCTACTAGATCTCATCGTTAGCTACATTTTCCGACCCCACATCGATAGTTTCATCGATAGCGCTTCTCGAGATTTCGAGCAATTTAGGCGCTCAGGCGCTACTCTCTAGTAGCGTTACTATTAGAGAAAATACGGTATGCTTTACAACTCACCGGCGAGAAAAACAAACAGCAGCATTGCCATGGATCAGCCATATTCAAAGTTGAAGCTAAATTTTGCAAATGATTCAAATTTTTCTACAAATCATTACAATGAATCAGACTTTATCAAATTTATCCGAAAAATGTGTAAAATGTGTAAAAGATGTAAAAGATCAGCTCTAATCTGCAGCCAATAAAAATTTGATGAGTCAAACCCGCCCCGGAAATTGTAAAAGCTCATTCTTAATGTAGAAACTGGGAAAAAGAAAAAAAAACCGGGAAATTGACTCAAAAATGATAAGAAAATGGAGAGCAAAAAGCAATAAAAGCGTTTATTTCCATGGCATCTCTCTTCTTCTTCAAAGACGTTTTATGCATTTGGATTGGAGAGGTTTTAAAGTCAAAAGTTTGGATTTTAGTTTTTAGATGTACAAGGTAGAATTTTGTGGTAAAATTGACTTGAAAAGTTTAGGAATATTGTAAGATATTTGGTAAAAGTACGTAAAGTCCTAATCCTAATCGTCTTATTGATTGAAAACACTGATTAACTTTCAAATTTTCTAATTATAAGCAAAACTCGATCAGAAACTAGAATGAATCTTCTAGTTTAGCTCAATATTGTCGTAAAGCTGAGATCCCTATTGGATTTCTTATTATTAGAACTGTAACTAGCAGTAAATATTGGGTTGGTGAATTGAAAACTGCGGGACTTTGAACTAAAATTTATTTAACATAAAACCATCAATTCATTCCAAATAATTGCCATTATTATTGACGACTTCTGCCTATTTTACAGGCCATTTGCGGATTCCTCTTTCGTAGTAGGGTTTTGGTTTGTGTGTGAGACAAGTGTGAGACTCAAAAATGGAGGACTGGAGATGTCAGCCGTCAGCCCATTTTGAGCACTTTCTTCAAAAGAAACCCATTTTGGTGTCAATAGAAAAGTTGTAGAGAATCAAAAATTAGGCTTATAGCCAAATTTCCAAAGCGATACACTTAGTAGTTTCGCTTAAAATGCAAGTTTTGTGAAAATTTGGCATTTCTTTTGTGTAAATTTGGCATTTCTTGAAAACGAGTTTTTGAATCGTTCTGAAAATTTGGATATAAGCTTGATTTTTGATTCTCTACAACTTTTCCATTGACACCAGAATGGGTTTCTTTTGAAGAAAGTGCTCAAACTGTCACATATGACAATAGCCCGCAGTTTTCAATTCACCAACCCAATAGTTTAGCTCAATATTGTTGTAAAGCTGAGATCCCTATTGGATTTCTTATTATTAGAATTGTAACTAGCAGTAAATAGTAGCCGTGTGGACTTTTGAACTGTTTGTCAATAGGTGTACAACGGAAATGCCGGTCTGTACCCTTTAAAATCGTCTTTTTTAAACGTTTTTTTCAGGATCACATCATAAGAGCTTGTAAAATGCTAGCCAACGGTAGAAAGCGTTTGAAAAGACGATCTTAAAGGGTTAAGAAGGGAATTTCCGTTGTACACCTATTGACAAACGGCTAGAAAACGCAATTATCTAGTAAATAGTAAGTTGAAGTAGAAATTTATAAAAGCAGAAGTAAGAAAAAGTGCCTAAAAAGTGCCCAGAAGTGTTTTCTTAGATCAAATTCATACAAATTTGACTAGAAAGCTATTTTTCTATTCATTTAAAGATCAAAAAATTGAATGACAAAAAGCTTTACGTTGATTTAAACCTATAAACCAAAGAAAGCGATCGAAAAAGCTCAATTCACATAAAAGCGGCGAGATGCGAATCTGTCATGGCTTATCAGGGCACACAAAAGCATATATGCAGAAAAAAAAAGAATACCCAATTCCAATACTGAATGAATCACTCGATTTGCTCAAGATATCGCTTTTCATTCGCAAAATTCCATCGAAATCACCGTTGAGTCTTCAAAAAATCGCACAAAGGGCTATGACAGTTTTGAGTTGTGCAATGTCCCTCCAGGTTGTGTCATCTTTTGCAAACACACCTTTCCTGGTACACTTGATGAAAGCAGCTGGGATACGATTCGTATACTTTGTGCTCTTCAACAATCGCACGCTTTCTGGCACACTTGATGAAACAGCTTGGATCCGATTTATGTACTTTATGCTCTCCAACAATCGCAGGGTTTCTGGCACACTTGATGAAAGCAGCTTAGATCGGATTCGTGTACTTTGTGCTCTCCAACAATCGCACGCTTTCTGGCACACTTGATGAAACAGCTTGGATCCGATTTATGTACTTTGTGCTCTCCAACAATCTCAGGGTTTCTGGCACACTTGATGAAAGTAGCTTGGATGCGATTTGTGTACTTTGTGCTTCCGATAAACGCGCGCTTTCTGGCACACTTGATGAAAGCAGCTTGGATACGATTCGTGTACTTTGTGCTCTCCAACAATCGCACGCTTTCTGGCACACTTGATGGAGGCAGCTTGGATACGATTCGTGTACTTTGTACCTCCGATAAACGCGCGCCTTCTGGCACACCGTTTCGATCTACTATCGGATTTGAGTGTGCCAGAAAATGTGTGTTTATTGTACTCCAAAGTACGCACAAGTCTTTGACCCTCTGTGTACTTTGTGCTCTCCAATCGCACCCCCTCTGGTACACTAAACTCATCTAGTATGCCAGAGAGCGTGCATTTAATCAAGAGCACAAAGTACGCGCCAGTCTTTGATTCTCCGTGTTTAATCAAGAGTTTAATCTAAACTCTAGTGTACCAGAGAGGTGCGTTTAAGGAAGAGCACAAAGTACATCATGTATACAAAGTCTAATGTGCCAGAAGCCGTGCGTTTGTTAGAGCCCAAAATTTTCAGCTTTCTCACAAAATCTTTGATTTTCCAGAACTCGATGACTCATCCTTAATAGCATAAAATCCCAAAAACCCCAGAAAACCCATCAAAACACAAAAAAAGTCCGATCATCCATCAATTTATTTGCTGAACACCAAGAAAAAGTCTCTCTTTTTTTGATTTTCTTTATCAAATCAAATCCGAAAATGAGCTCATATCAAGCAATATAAATGAAATTCGATCATCAAAACGTCCTAAATCAATCCAAAATGAAATCCATTCTTCTTTTCTTCACGATTTCCCTCATCTCTACAACTTTTTCCTATCCAACCTATCAAGAAAAATGGGAAATCCCTGATTTTGTAAGTTTTAATTACAAATTTTCATAAACAGATCTAGATATTGATCTCTTAAGCTTATAAAATACAGAATTAAAGAAAGATTTTTGAAATTTAAACTTTATAGACTGGAGCCAGCGATTGTTTAGTCGATGAAAGTTGTGGTCGAGTCAGTTTTATGTATAATCTATATAATAATATATAATCTTCAATGAACAATGTTGATAAATCAATTCATAAAATTTTACAATTAGCAAAATCTTAGCATAATAATAGCATTCAGCTAATGTATTCATATAGGAGTAGGCCTCAATGAATAGTATTGGAACAGTATTGGAACAGTTTTGGAACCGTATTGGAACAGTATTGGATCTAAAAAGAACCGTATTGGAACCGTATTGGAACAGTATTGGAACAGTATTGGATCTAAAAAGAACCGTATTGGAACAGTGTTGGATCTAAAAAGAACCGTATTGGAACAGTGTTGGATCTAAAAAGAACCGTATTGGAACAGTATTGGATCTAAAAAGAACCGTATTGGAACCGTATTGGAACAGTATTGGAACAGTATTGGATCTAAAAAGAACCGTATTGGAACAGTGTTGGATCTAAAAAGAACCGTATTGGAACAGTGTTGGATCTAAAAAGAACCGTATTGGAACAGTATTGGATCTAAAAAGAACCGTATTGGAACCGTATTGGAACAGTATTGGAACAGTATTGGATCTAAAAAGAACCGTATTGGAACAGTGTTGGATCTAAAAAGAACCGTATTGGAACAGTATTGGAACCGTATTGGATCTAAAAAGAACCGTATTGGAACCGTATTGGATCTGAAAAGAACCGTATTGGAACCGTATTGGATCTGAAAAGAACCGTCACATCAATTCAGTTCATTGAGGCTTCGAAACTCTTTGAATTTATTAAATAGCCTTATTTTATTAAGAAATTCATCAATTTATCTAATTTTTGTTCTTTAACTTAAGATTACGATAGCTTTCTTTTATCCATCTTTTAGAAAACTCTTACTCTTATTATAATTACAGTAAACCATGGATTACGATAACTAGGGATCATGTACATTAGCTGCGGACCTGAAATTGAGCTAATCGAGCTGGTTTTGTGCTTAAGAGCTACTGTGACTTCCAGAACTCGATTTACTGACAAGATTAAGATACTCCGTTAATTAGGAACCAAGGATTACGATAGCCAGGGATTACGGTACATTAGCTGCCAACCCTCAACTTGAGCTAATCGAGCTGAATTTGTGCTTAAAAGTTACTGTGACTTCCAGAACTGTAATATCAAGAACTTATTAGTTAGAATTAGCATAAATCATTTTCCAGCTTGGTCGTTGCTGTTGGAATACTTGTCAAAGAATCGAAAAACCCGAGTGTGGACCGAATGCAACAAGAATGTTTGGGAAAAAATAGAATAAGAAACAGATTTGGATATTCATTTATGCTTTTTTTCTTTCTTTATCGTCAATAAACAAAGCGCTCATTGATGAACTCTTGCTTGAAAGTGGCGAAAATTGTTGTCGAGCAATCGTGAGTGATGTATTTCGCCTGAAAAATTGGTATGGTTGAATGGATTTTCTGAAAGGCAGTCGAAAACTACCGTAATCTGGCTAGTTCGCATTAAATTTTCTTCAATTTTCTTCAATTTTCCTCAATTTTCTTTAATTTTGGCTAATTGGAAGTTAAATTAGTTCAATTTTGGTATCATTCGATAAGGAAGTACAAGGCTCAGAGAATCATACAAAAATTCGACTGATCAAGTGTAAACTGGTCGGGTTACGGTAGTTTTCGAAAAGAGGTACATTTTAGAAGATGAAAAATGCCTTTTAATTATCACTGTTTCTGGTAGGATTGGCAAAAAAGCCTAACACAAGCCTAAGTCAAGCCCAGCCAAGCCAAAGCCAAAGCCTCAGCCAAGTCTAAGCCTAACCCAAGCCAAGCCAAAGCCAAGCCAAAGCCAAGCCAAAGCCAAGCCAAAGCCAAAGCCAACCCAAGCCAAGCCAAAGCCAAGCCAAAGCCAAGCCAAAGCCAAGCCAAAGCCAAGCCAAAGCCAAAGCCAAAGCCAAAGCCTCAGCCAAGTCTAAGCCTAACCCAAGCCAAGCCAAAGCCAAGCCAAAGCCAAGCCAAAGCCAAGCCAAAGCCAAAGCCAACCCAAGCCAAGCCAAAGCCAAGCCAAAGCCAAGCCAAAGCCAAGCCAAAGCCAAGCCAAAGCCAAGCCAAAGCCAAGCCAAAGCCAAGCCAAAGCCAAGCCAAAGCCAAAGCCAAAGCCTCAGCCAAGTCTAAGCCTAACCCAAGCCAAGCCAAAGCCAAGCCAAAGCCAAGCCAAAGCCAAGCCAAAGCCAAAGCCAAAGCCAAAGCCAAGCCTAGCCTAGCCAATGACTTTCAATTAATTTCAATTTCAATTTTACTGTTGGATTTGCTCAATTTAGTCTAAAACCTTAACTTTGGCTTGGATTTGTCTCGAAATTTGGCTCTTTTGCTAACCATGGTTGCTAGTAATCGATTTATTATGTAAAAACTTTTTAAAACTATAGATTGCCCTAGCGATACATAAAACTATCATTTAAAGGCAAAGTAAAGTATATAATATAATCAATAACTAAATTTCACCTGCAGCGCGTATCCAGCCTTGAAAAATTGTTGATCGGGAATGTTTCCCTCCTCCGAACTCCACATTTCCTTTGCCGCGGCATCCAAATGCTCGGCTACACAACTCATCCCTTTCAAGAAGACGCTGAAAGACTAATATCAATCAGTTACCGTACGATAATCTCCTAATTTTCTCAAAAGCTTTTCCTTAATAGTATTTTTATCCCACTTGCATCTTGTCTCCAAATCCAGCTCCACCGAGTCGTCAATTTGTGCCTCCATGAAGCAATCTCGTTCAACTTTTCTCAAATTTCCGACTTTCTCCTCGAGTTGCATAAGGTGATTGTCTGAAATCAACATATTACTATATTATATCAACAGTTTTACAGACATTTTTGGTTCGGACGAGGCCCTTCACAGTGAATAAGAAGCCAATCCATCACAAATCTCTTTGAACAGGGACAACTTTTCGTGGCCTCAGGATAATAGCTAAATATCAAAAACTGGAATGAGATAAAGATTACGGTAGCTTTAAGAAGTTCTTTAGTTCAAGTTCCCCTTTCTCTTTCTATTAATCTTCTCTATTTTTGTCCAAATATTTGTCTGTTTCTGAGGGTTCACAAAAGAGCTCCTTTTTTAGAAACCTTGCTGGTAAATGCCTGATTACTAAAGTAACTTATTACTAAAGTGCCAAGTGTTATATAGAAAAATAAAGCCCTTAATCTTGGCATCATTTTTCTATAAAGAACTTTTCGCTTGGAGTTAAACAACTCATTTTACAAGCTCTTGAATAAGCTCAAGTCGACCTAGCGATTTTGTTTTAGAAAACTTGCTGACAAATGTCTGACTTTTTACCAAAGTGCCAAGTGTTATATAGAAAAATAAAGCCCTTAATCTTGGCTACATTTATCTATTAAAAGTTTCCCAATTGGAATCATACAACTCATTTTACAAGCTTTTGAATCAGCTCAAGTCGGCCTAGCGATCTGCCATTTTTCATACACAATATTTTCATCTAGAAAGAGATTCCTTCAATTAAACTTGTTGTATTTTACTTTAAAAGTATTATTCAATCAAATATAACGCTAGAAAAGCTTATAAACTAAGATCTTCTTGTCAAATGGTTTCAAAAAAGCTAAATTTTCCTTTTTTTGCAGGGTTTCCAAAATCAACTCCAATTTTGACTATAAAAAGTTTGACAAAAGAGTTTACTGTTATTTTTATTGCTATTAAATGATATTAAATTTTATTTTTTCATAAAATAAATAACTTTTTAACAATTTTTTATTAAGAAAAGTGTCAAAAATGGCAGATCGACGAAGAGATGCCGACTTGAGCTTATTCAAGAGCTTGTAGAATGAGTTGTATGATTCCAATTGGGAAACTTTTAATAGATAAATGTAGCCAAGATTAAGGGCTGTATTTTACCATATAACATTTGGCACTTTGGTAAAAAGTCAGACATTTGCCAGCAACTTTTCTAAAACAAATGACAAATCGCTAGGCCGACTTGAGTTTATTCAAGAGCTTGTAAAATGATTTGTCTAACTCCAATCAAAAAGTTCTTTATAGAAAAATGTAGCCAAGATTAAGGGCTTTATTTTTCTATATAACACTTGGCACTTTAGTAATAAATTACTTTAGTAATCAGGCATTTGCCAGAAGTTTTCCAAAAAAGTGTCGCGATAATTCGTGGAAACGAAAGAACGAAGCGAAAAAAGCACGAAAAAGTACTTTTTTTGAAAGCTTAGAAACGAAAAAAACACTTTTACAGCATTCTTTATTAGAAAAATGTTTTAAATAAACTTACAGACATGTCCTTTCAGCTTTCGTGAGTTGCTCATCCAATGCCTCTCCCGCGATTTCTTTCGAGAATTTTTCAAGGCATTCCACCGGAGAACTCTAGAATTCTTTTAAAATCCTAATTAAATCTGTTCTTTCAATCAATTAAGATAAGAAAAATGCTAAAAAATATAAATAGCTTAAAGATTTCAATTCAAAAACCCACTGCTTGACTCCTCTCACAATTCACGTCATCTAAAACAAAGTTTAAGCTATTTCTTTTAACAGAATCAAACCTTCAAAGCAAAGAGAAATCCCAAAAAGCAAAGAAACGAGAAGGGCTTTCATTTTTTTTTGAATCTAGTGAGATTTTTAGAAAAAATATTTCAGCTGGGGCTTTATTTTGACTCGTAGCAGAGACATAGCATCTAAAAATATCGAAAAAATTTCAAAAATCGTTCAAAATTTGAGATTTTCATCTTTTAAAACTACTTTTGAGAAAGCTGAGGGGTTAATTAATTAATAAATTAATAAAATTCGGCAAATTGAGCAACAAAAGCTGGATATAGATGGATTACGATATTTACGGGATCGTCGCTTGGCTACTGTAGGCTATGTTACAGTAATCTGTGTAGTTAGCACCGTAGATCTTGAGCTCGACTATTGACCTTGACTATTGATCGCAAAACTTCTATAAAAACTAACTTGGAGATCTAAGGAGATTACGGTAACAGAAGCACGCTTTTGACACTCCAAATAGCTTTAGAGATTTCCCAAAAGATTGTTATAGTCAAAATTGGAAGGATCTCAGCAAATGCCACCTTGGCTGACTGGGTAAAAGCCCCGTCTCTCAGTCGGAAGCTCAAGGATTCAATCCCGCTGGCTGGTTGGTTTCTTTTTTTCCTTTATACAGGGTGACCAAGAATTACCGCAACACACAAAATGCTTCGCTTTTAACCAAAGATGCAACCCATCTCGAAAAGCTAACTTAAATATCTTTATTCAACATATAACAGTAACAAATTAACAATTAAATTCTAATTTGCCTCCATTGGCATTCAGACACGCTTGCAAACGTTTGGGAAACGCGTTGACCGTGGCGAGCAAATAGGCATCATCGAGGGTATCCCATGCTTTGATGAGCGCCTTCTTCAAAGTTATATACAGTAATGGACAAAAGATCAAATTTGGAGATCTAAGGAGATTACGGTATCAGAAGCACGCTTTTGACACTCCAAATAGCTTTAGAGACTTCCCAAAAGAATCTTATAGTCAAAATTGAAAGGATCTCAGCAAATGCCACCATGGCTGACTGGGTAAGAGCCTCATCTCTCAGTCGGAAGCTCGAGGGTTCAATCCCGCTGGCTTGTTGCTTTCTTTTTTCCTAAACAGTAGTGGACAAAAGCTTATCACCTCGCGAATCTTCTACCATCTTTGAAGAGCTATAACTTCGAGCCTTTCCATTTTAGACTGTAAGTATTGTAGTGATTTTGAAAGCTTAAAACGAGCTCTATAAGATGGTGTATTTCCTTTTTAAAGTTATCCTAATTTTTGACACATTTCGAAATGCGCAAAATAGGGTTTGTAAAAATAACATTTTCAACCCTGTTTTTCTTGTCGATGCTGTGCTCCAATCATTTTGAAACCGTGTTTTTTGGAAAGAACGTGCAAAATTACCTCTAGAAACATTTGATTTGAGTATTTATTGCTGTCTCAAATTTCTAAAAAACCAACTTCGCATTATCAGAGGCCAAATCTGAAATTTTACTTAAACAATATTTAACTTAAAATTAAAGAAAACAATAGGAGCAAAAAAAAAGAACAAAAAGAAATTGCCCACAGATTGGTCTTCGAAAAAACAACACTCCTGCGATGGACCGGACGATCGTAACGGAGTCTCGAAAAAATCCGCGTCTCATCGCTTCAGACATCATGCGAGAAGTCTCAGTTCAAATGTTTTTTGTTCTTTTTTTTGCTCCTGTTGTTTTCTTTCATTTTAAGTTAAGTTTTGTGTCAGTAAAATTTCAGATTTAGTCTCTCGATCGTCGTTAGTCTCAAAAAAACGACGATAATGGGAAGTTAGTTTTTTTAGAGCTTTGAGACAGCAATAAATACTAAAATCAAAGGTTTCTAGAGGTAATTTTGCACGTTCTTTCCAAAAAACACCGTTTCAAAATGATTAGAGCACGGCATCAACAAGAAAAACAGGGTTGAAAATGTTGTTTTTTTCAAAACCTACTTTGCGCACCTTGAAATGTGTCAAAAATTAGGATAACTTTAAAAAGCAAATACACCATCTTATAGAGCTCGTTTTAAGCTTCCAAAACCACTATAACATTTACAGTCTAAGATGGAAAGACTAGGAGTTATAGCTCTTCAAAGATGGTAAAAGATGAGCGAGGTGATAAGGTTTTGTCCAGTACTGTATAGGAAAAAAATAACCAACGAACCAGCGGGATTGAACCCTTGAGCTTCCGACTGAGAGATGAGGCTCTTACCCAGTCAGCCATGGTGGCATTTGCTGAGATCCTTTCAATTTTGACTATAAGATTCTTTTGGGAAGTCTCTAAAGCTATTTGGAGTGTCTAAAGCGTGCTTCTGTTACCGTAATCTCCTTAGATCTCAAAGTTTGATCTTTTGTCCATTACTTCCCTACTTCTAGGGCTTAAGAGTTGTGATTTTCTATTGTTTATACCAAATTATTCGATGTAATCAATGTATTTTTAAATGCAATATACCAATTTCGACAAATTCTCGACTTTTTTTCAAGAAACAACCAAAGTCAAATTATTCAGCGTCACACAAAAAAATGCCTCGTCAAGAAAAAGAGAATTGATTATGTAAAATATGCATTCGTATTCATTCGTCTCTCTCTTTTCTTTGCCCATTTTTCCCTTTTGCTCTCCTCTGAATCATGTCTCTAACCAACAAAACGGTCGACGAAAAGGAGACAAATGAAATGAACTGTTTTTTTATGCAACTTTATATATTTGAAAATTATTTGGGTATTGATTTTTATTCTTAAACGATTCTTAAAAGAGATTCTATAAGAGAATTTATCTATTACCCTAAAGTCGCTAAAATTATAGAGAACAACAAAACGCCAGGAATAGAAAAAAGCCAATTTTTTCTTGTCTATGACATAATAACGATAACTTGAGCAACTCTTAATTACCAGCATAAGTAGACAAGATTATTTTGATCCCACAAACGTTTTGTCGTTGGTCACAACCTACTCTTGCCAAACAAGGGAAAGACAAGAGTAGGATGTGAGCAAATGAGATAAGCCATAGGCCTGAATGTTTGCTATGTTTTAATACCTGAATTTTAGCTGACCCATCTGACTTAAAGCGATTTGAAATGGTCAAATTCAGCCGCTAACGAATGAAATTTTTTTACTAGCCGTTTACGAATGATTCGTAATCGGCTAGCTGCTAACGAATTTGTTTGTTATAAACATTTTTATGTTATAAACATTATTATGTTATAAAAGTCAATATGCTATACATGTTAAATGTTTTGACTTCATCAAAGAAGGACGCTTCACCCGATTCGCCGATTGGAGGTTCATTCATCGAGCCCGTCTCAACACCGTGCCACTCAATGCAGCCATCCGACATGGAGTTCGTGACAAAAGATGCCGAAGATGTGCCCGAGCTGACAAAACACTTCCACATGTCTTGTGCCACTGTCTTCCCCACATGCCACCCATCACCATCACCATCACAATTCACAAAAGACTAGGACACGCCGGGGCCGGGATCTCAAAGGAAATACTCGAGATTTTTATCAAACTTTGCCCGGAATGTGAATTAAAGAAGGGGATACCAAAAAAGGAGTTGTTGTGAAGCCGATCATAACGAAGGAGCAAAATGAACGCTGCCAAGTCGACTTAATTGATCTTCAATTGGTTCCGCATGCATTTTAGTTGATGTTTTGTTTGTTATAAATGTTATTATGTTAAAAACGTTAATATGTTATACCTATTAAATGTTGTAAATTTTATTTCACTTGTTGTGATTAGTTTGCTGATTTGCATTTTGCATAAATAGTTTGAAATAGTCGTTAACGAATGATTCGTTAGTGGCTTAGGCTTAGGCTTAAAATTTACAACATTTAATAGGTATAACATATTAACGTTTTTAACATAATAACATTTATAACAAACAAAACATCAACTAAAATGCATGCGGAACCAATTGAAGATCAATTAAGTCGACTTGGCAGCGTTCATTTTGCTCCTTCGTTATAATCGGCTTCACAACAAGTCCTTTTTTGGTGTCCCCTTCTTTAATTCACATTCCGGGCAAAAATTTGATAAAAATCTCGAGTATTTCCTTTGAGATCACGTGATAACCTCCTGATAATCTGATGTTCTTGATAATCTGATGTTTCTACATCAGATCCCTGCCGGCGTGTCCTAGTCTTTTGTGGGTTGACGTCAAAACATTTAATGCCTGCTAGCCGTTAACAAATCATTCGTTGGTGGCTAGCTCTTGGTGGCTAGCTCTTGGTGGCTAGCTCTTGGTGGCTAGCTCTTGGTGGCTAGCTCTTGGTGGCTAGCTCTTGGTGGCTAGCTCTTGGTGGCTAGCTCTTGGTGGCTAGCTCTTGGTGGCTAGCTCTTGGTGGCTAGCTCTTGGTGGCTAGCTCTTGGTGGCTAGCTCTTGGTGGCTAGCTCTTGGTGGCTAGCTCTTGGTGGCTAGCTCTTGGTGGCTAGCTCTTGGTGGCTAGCTCTTGGTGGCTAGCTCTTGGTGGCTAGCTCTTGGTGGCTAGCCGTTAGTGGCTAGCCGTTAGTGGCTAGCCGTTAGTGGCTAGCCGTTAGTGGCTAGCCGTTAGTGGCTAGCCGTTAGTGGCTAGCCGTTAGTGGCTAGCCGTTAGTGGCTAGCCGTTAGTGGCTAGCCGTTAGTGGCTAGCCGTTAGTGGCTAGCCGTTAGTGGCTAGCCGTTAGTGGCTAGCCGTTAGTGGCTAGCCGTTAGTGGCTAGCCGTTAGTGGCTAGCCGTTAGTGGCTAGCCGTTAGTGGCTAGCCGTTAGTGGCTAGCCGTTAGTGGCTAGCCGTTAGTGGCTAGCCGTTAGTGGCTAGCCGTTAGTGGCTAGCCGTTAGTGGCTAGCCGTTAGTGGCTAGCCGTTAGTGGCTAGCCGTTAGTGGCTAGCTGTTAATCAATCATTCGTAATCGGTTAGCCGTTAACGAATCATTCGTTAACGGCTAAATTTCGTAAACGACTGCGACATCTATACTTATTTGACCTTAATCTTGTTTTCTCTTCTTACTTTTTCACTTCTTGACTTCTTTTCTTTTCTCTTTTCTCTTTCCCCCAAAAGATGTTATTTCCTTTCTCACTTACTCAC